GTAAAGGAAAAGTTGAAAAGAGGCAGCTTAAAGTTATATTTTGGTTAACTTTAGGTTCAAGACTGAAGTAAGGTCAGAGTAGGAATGATGGCTTGAACAAACAGGGAATGTTGGGGAGACTGGAGATTGCAGTGAGGATGGGGGGCTTGAGGTTGAGAAATGGAAGGCAGCAGATTACTGCCAGAGGGGGAATTTCGGAGTTTAGGATCACGTAATTCCTACATTTTGACTGCCTCCTCACTGATCTTCATCCACTTGCTTCTTTGGGGCTTTCTTGGAGAAGAAATTAGAAGTAAAGGAGTGTAAAAGACTTGGAGGTGAGTGGGAGAATGATAGTTTAGAGAAAAGAGCTACTCTGAGCTAGAGGGAATTAAGGGCAGCCAGGCGGTGCAGTGGATAGAGCACAGGGCCTGGCTTATGGAAGATTCCTCTTTCTGAGTTCAAATCTGGCCACAGATACTTACAAGCTATGTGACCCCAGGCAAGTCACTTAAAGCTGTTTGCCTCAGTTTCTTCATCTGTAAAATGAGCTGGAAAAGGAAATGACAAACCATTCCTGTGTCTTTGCCAAGAAAACCCCAAATGGGGTCATGAAGAGTCAGACATGACTGAAACACTCAACAAACTTCCTGACTCTGAGCTACCTAGTTGCCCTCACTTCTACATTACTCAAGTACTTTGTACTTCTCAAAAATCCTGTGAAAGGATTAGTTCAAGTATTATGCTCCTTATTTTACAAGTGACTTGTCCAGGGCCAGAGAGTTAGTTAAGTCACTCACACCCAAGTCTTGTTCCTTCTCCTCTTTTCTATGAAAATCTTTTAGGGTTTTGTGGACAACCCTACTGGGTACTGGGAAAGGACAAGCAGAAGAGATGAAATCCATTCTCTGGTAGTAGGAAGGGAAGGGAAGAGGAAGCCCAAGTTATTCATTCAAGGGAGTTATCCCCCTGAATCAGAACAGGCCTACAGTCTGCTTCTTAGAAGACTTAGAAGTCATCTAGATGCTCAAGCCTCCTACAACAATATGCTAGTCCTCCCTGCAACATCTTTGACAAGGTGTTCTCAGGCATCTACATCTACATCCCAGTGCTGATTGTTAGAAAGTTCCAGTGTGGGATAATAGAAAAAACACTGGATTTGGGCATCAGATCCTAGGTCTAGCACTTACTGACTATGCAACCTTAGGCAAGTCACTTAATCCTTCTGACTCAATTTTTTCATCTGTAAAATGGGAACAGTAAGGAACTCGCTATTCTACCTATCTACTTCTATTTTTTTTTTGTATTTTGCTAGTCAATGAGGTTAAGTGACTTGCCCACAGCCACAAAGCTTGTTAGTGTTAAGTGTCTGAGGTCAAATTTGAACTCAGGTCCTCCTGACTCCAGGGCTGGTGCTCTATCCACTGCGCCACCTAGCTGCCCCTCTACTTCTATTTTTCTAGTATTTCAGGAGATGTTGTAAAATCCCAAATCAGGCTCATAAAGAATTTTGACCCAAGGATACAGGGTTGATTATAAGGAAAACCTTTAAGTAACTATATAAATGTAAATTGCTGTTTAGATTTTATGTTCCTATTTCTTCCCACAGCCCAGAACAAATCTGTCTCCTGTCTATAGGACAGCACTTTAAATATGTGAAGACAATGATCATATGAAGGGATTAAATTAGATGATGTCGAAGGTGCCACTCAGGGGCAGTTAGGTGGTACAGTGGGTAGAGTGATAGGCCTGGAATCAGGAAGACTCCTCTTACTAAGTTCAAATCCAGTCTCAGACACTTCCTAGCTGTGTGACCTTGGGCAAGTCACTTAACCCTGTCTGCCTCAGTTTCCTCATCTGTAAAATGAGCTGGAGAAGGAAATGGCAAACCATTCTAGTATCTTTGCCCCCCCAAAAACAAAAAAACAAAAAACCCAAATGGCAAAAAAATTGGAATTGAAGGGATGCCCATCAATTGGGGACTGGCTGAACAAGTTGTGGTATATGAATGTAATGGAATACTATTGTACTATAAGAAATGATGAGCAGGTGGACTTCAGAAAAACTTAGAAAGACTTGTATGGACTGATGCTGAATGAAATGAGCATTATTATACTGTGTATAATAGCCATATTATTCAATGACTGACTTTGATACACTCAGCTCTTTTCAGCAATGCAAGGATGTAAGATAACTTCAAAAGACTCATGATGGAAAATGCTATCCACATCCAGAAAAAGAACCATGGGAGTCTGAATGCAGTTGGAAGCATACTATTTGCTCAACCTTGTCTTTTTTGTTTTGTTTTATTTCTTCTTTTTCCTGGTTCCTCCCATTAGTTTTAATTCTTCTATACATCATGACTAATGTGGAAATATGCTTAATATGAATGTGTAAGTAGAACCTATATCAGATTACACATTCTTTAAACAAAACCCAAATAGGGTTATGAAGAGTTGGACACAACTGAATCTCACCATCAATGGTTATAAAGGTGCCATCTGTCTCTCAAGGGGATTACCATATTTTCAATTCGATTCTACAAACATTTATTAAAACAAGACAATTTTCTGGGTGGAGAAGATGCAAAGTTAAGAGTCCCCAGTAAGTATGAGGACTGGTCCTGTGATTTCTTTTTGTTGTTGTTTGTCCTTTATTTTCTTTCTCTTTTTTTTATTAATTAATTAATTTTTAGTTTTCAACATTCACTTCCATAAGATTTCAAGTTCTAAATTTTCTCCCCCTCCCTCTGCACCTCTCTTCCCAAGATGGTATGCAATCTGATATAGGCTTTACATATACATTCATATTGAACATATTTTCACATTAGTCATGTTGTAAAGAAGGATTAGAACTAATGGGAGGAACCATGAGAAAGAAGAAATAGAGAGAGAGAGAAAGAGAGAGAGAGAGAGCGAGCAAATAGTATGCTTCTATCTGCATTCTAACTCCATGGTCCTTTTTCTGGATGTGGAGAGCATTTTCCATCATGAGTCTTTTGGAGTTGTCTTACATCCTTGCATTCCTGAGAAGAGTTAAGTCTATCCAAGTCAGTCATTGCACAATGTGGCTGTTACTGTGTATAATGTTCTCCTGGTTCTGCTCACTTCACTCAGCATCAGTCCATACAAGTCCTTCCAAGTTTTTCTGAAGTCTGCCTGCTCATCATTTCTTATAGCACAATAGTATTCCATTACATTCATATACCACAACTTGTTCAGCCATTCCCCAATTGATAGGTATCCCCTCAATGTAAATTTCATTAGTAAAGCCAGCTCCCAGTGGGGGAATATCTATATCTCTACCAATGTAGTAGATTAGTACCTTATCTGCAAATTACAATCTTAGAGTTGCCTAGGGTGCAAAGAAATTATATGACTTGCACAAGTCACAGAGCCAGTATGTGTCACAGGTGGATTTGAACTTAGGCCTTCCTGGCTCCCAGGTTAGCTCTCTATCTTTGAGGAGGGGGGAGAGAGCAAACACAACTGGGCTATCAAGGATACTTCTCAGGAGATAGTTCCTGAGCCAGGAGAGGCAGAGAGAAGTAAGAAGGGGGCAATTCCAGGCATTTCTTAAAGACATCCCACCCACTAAGCATTGTCTTCACCTGTCTAAACATTCCCAATTTCCTTAACTTGTCCTCATGGTTTTGTGTTTCCCAGTCCTTCTGATCTTTCTTCTCTGGATAATTTTTAGCCTGTCAATAAAATGCTTACACCCAGAATATAGGCACTGAAGCATGGTTGGACAACATAGCAAAGTACACCAAAAAACAATAACATGCAATAAACCACCGTCATCCTTTTATGCAGTTGTTGTTAAGTAGAAGATTCAGAAAGTAAGAAGTTGGTTGCTATGATTCTGCTTTTCAGTTTTCTTGTTTGGTACCACATCGGAGTGAGTAAAATCCTCAAGATCATAGGACCTTGCATAGGAAAGGACTTCTATACCATCTGTTACAACCTCTTCATTTTATAGAAACATTGGGGTCCAGAGGTTAAATGACCTGCTTAAGGTCACACCAATAAGAAAAAAAGAGGCAGGATTTGAACCCAGGTCTGCTAACACTAAATCCAATGCTCCGTCTACCACATCTTGCCACCCCCTTTGGAACAAACTTCTGATCAAAAATGATGTCCTTTATCCTCTTTTTTTTTTTTTGGTGAGGCAATTGGGGTTAAGTGACTTGCCCAGAGTCACACAGCTAGTGAGTGTTATGTGTCTGAGATCAGATTTGAACTCAGGTCCTCTTGACTCTAGGGCCAGTGCTCTATCCACTGCACCACCTAGCTGCCCCGCAATGACATCCCCCTTCTCTCAACTCTTAGGCATCTTCTCCATGCCCCTTATTTGGCTAGCATCAGATACTTCCTGGTATTATTAGTTATAGAATCAGACAGGATCTTAGAGCTTAAGCTGGAAGAGCTCTCAATAACAATTTTTTAACCTGTTCTGATTCTTTTCTTTTTTTTTTTACTTTTTAGGCCATTGGGGTTAAGTGACTTGCCCAGGGTCACACAGCTAATGTTGTGTTTGGTCTGAGACCGGATTTGAACTCAGGTTGTCCTGACTTCAGGGCCGGTGCTCTATGCACTGCACCACTTAGCTGCCCTTTATCCCCATTCTTGACTGATAAAATTCTGCCTACACTTCAAGGCTCAGATAAAATGTTATTTATTTCCTCTTTTGTTGTTGCCAGTGTATCATATGCCAATATCCAGGATGATGTTTCTCTGAATTTTTTAAAAAAGTTTTTTTTGGGGGGGCAGCTGGGTGGTGAAGTAGATAGAGCTCTGGCCTTGGAGTCAGGAGGACCTGAGTTCAAATATGGCCTCAGACACTTGACACTTACTAGTTGTGTGACCCTGGGAAAGTCACTTAGCCGTATTTGCCTCACCAAAAAAAAAGAAAAAGAAACATTAAGCAATTACTGTACTCAAGAGTACGGAAGGAGATACAAAATACAACACTGTGATTAAGATAAAAAAGTTTTTTTCCCCTCTGGTACAAGTCAACTAGATTGTTTGAGCTGCAAACCATGTCAAAGGCAGCTTTGCTCTATCTCGAGCCATCTTCCCTATGGTAACTTGAATCAGCTCCTCCTTCTCTCCTGGTGGTGAGCTTCAGAGTGGTAAAGAGCCCTGCCCCTAGGGAATTCCCCCTGCCCCCTGTAAAATAGCTTCCACTTCTGGAAGGCGATAGGAGCTGGAAGAGAGGTACAGTCAGTTCAGTGGAGAGCATGGGGAAAGTAGCATATTGCAGGGGAGGCTGCCTCAGGCTTGAAATCAGAGGATCTGGGTTTGACTCCTGACTGCTGCCGACTTCATGGTGATTCTGACATGCTAGTTTCACTCCCTGGGTCTCAGTTCCATTTTCTATAAAATAAGGAAGTCATACATTGCTAAGATCCTCTCAGCTCTTGAGCTCTTGAACTTTTGATTAGGGGCAGCCAGTGGACAGAGTGCTAGACCTAGAGTCAGAAAGGCCTAAGTTCAAATAGAACCTCTGACACTTAGTAGTTGTGTGACCCAGGCTGTCACATAACTTCTGCTTTCCTTACTTACCTGAACCTTCCTGCCAGGGTTGTTATAGGGATCAAATTAGACAGTATTTGTAAAATGCTTAACTTAGTACCTGGCACATACTCAGCCTTTCCTTCCTTCCTTCCTTCCTTCCTTCCTTCCTTCCTTCCTTCCTTCCTTCTTCTTCTTCCTTCTTCCTTCTTCTTCCTTCCTTCTTCCTTCCTTCTCCTTCCTCCCTTCCTCCCTTCCTCCTCTCCTCTTCCTCCTTCCTTCCTTCTTCCTTCCTTCCTTCCTTCCTTCTTCCTCCTCTCCTTCCTCCTCCTCCTCCTTCCTCCTCCTCCTCCTTCTCCTCCTCCTTCCTCCTTCCTCTTCCTCCCTCCTTCCTCCCTTCTCTCCTTCCTTCCTCCTCCTCCTCCTTCCTTCCTCCTTCCTTCTCTTCCTCCCTCCTTCCTTCCTCCTCTCCTTCCTTCCTCCCTTCCTCCCTTCCTTCCTTCCTCCCTCCCTCCCTCCCTCCTTCCTTTTTTTCCCTCACTTTCTAAAAATAATAGTAAATGAATTCTCAATATTTTAGTATAGAGAATCATCATGGTGTAGAAGTCACTGGAGTCAGTAGTCTCTTGGGTTCACGTCCTGGACCTGCACTGTGCCACATTAGATAAATTACAGCCTTTCTGAACTCAATTTCTTTATCTTGAAAGCAAGGGGTATTAATGCTTGCAAAATCCATTTCATAAGGTTATTGGTTGGAAAATGCTTTTAAAATCCTAATATCCTATAGAAATGTGAGTATTTTTGTGGGTTTCCAGTTATGGAAATGATTACATTTTTTTAGAAGGAGGTCTGATTGGGAAGTTAAATTGGAGACTTGGGTAAGAGGCGTTGGAAGGTGCTGTGTTCTGTCAAACACTTCATGAGAGGGAAATAAGACCAGAAAAGAAGGTTATGGCCAGATCCTGGAGGACTTTGAATAGCCAGGAAATTGGACTTGACTTGGTGGGCAATGGGAATGTGCTGGGGCTGAGCTTTTGAGGAGCTTTTGAACAGAGGAGCCGTATGATCCAAATAATGCATTAGGGAGATAAATCTGGCAGAGCCATGTAGATGGAAAGAATGGAGGTGGGGAGGGGAGCCCAGGTCACTGTGGTGTGGAATTCAGGCAGCTAGAGTTTAGCCACCTTGGCAGACTGGTGAGAACGCCATTGGGTTAATGAGCCAAGTTTGTCACATCTCCTAGGGAAGGGAGGGGGGTGCCAGCTTTAGTGCCCTGGATGCCAGGAAATAAAAGCAGAAAGAAAGTGTGAATGGCCAGGGAACAAGATGAATAACAAGCATTTTTCAAACCGTGGGTAACACCCCCCCTCCCTGCCTTGTCCCATGATGCCTCGAGGGTACTTGCCCCAAGTCTGTAGCTATGATGTGGCACCTTCTCTATGACATGGCACCTTCCCTACCTTTCCAGTCTTAGCTCAATCATTCCATTCTCCACAATTCATGTTCCAGGTCAGCTGGACAACTCTGTCCCTTCAGTGGTTCACGCTGTCCCCTATCCCTGAAATTAATCAACAAGTGATTCTTAAGTGCTTACCTTAGTGCCAGGCACTGTGCTACATGTTAGGGACTTAGAAAAAAATAAAAATAAATAACACCTTTTTATATTCTATGGGTGAAATATCCATCCCTATTTTTACCTTTAAAATCTAGCTTAAATGGCATCTCATCCTTGATGCCTTCCTTATAGCCCCCGAATCAGTAAAGTGGACCCCAATTTTACTTGCTCAGGAGGAGGCCGTGGAATAGAAAGTGGAAGGATCACCAATAGTGGACTTGAATTCAAATCTTCAGCTTACAACTTGTGCCTCCGTGGGCAAGTCATTTATTTTAAGACCTTAGTTCCCTTATTTGTAAGATGAATGGATACAACCAGATGTGCTTAAAGGTCCTATCCAATTTGAAATTTATGAACATTCTCCTCTTGCTTCTTGGAACCCAACTTTGCCCTGGGTGAGGCCTTTCGACTGAGTCCAAGTTTGTTTGTTTGTTTGTTTGTTTGTTTGTGAGGCAATTGGGGTTAAATGACTTGCCCAGGGTCACACAGCTAGTAAGTGTCAAGTGTCTGGTCTGAGGGCGGATTAGAACTCAGGTCCTCTTGACTCCAAGGCTGGTGCTCTATCCACTGCGCCACCTAGCTGCCCCTGAGTCCAAGTTTTATAGAACAAATCCTTTCATTACGGGGATTTGTTTTGTGATTTGGATTCAGTCAAAGGGGGGCTGCACTTGAGGACCTAGAGGGCCACATGTGGCCTTGAAGCTGTAGGTTTCCCATTCCCCCCCCCACCCCAGCCCTAATACTTAATCCCACACAACTAAGGTGAATTTATCCCTAGATAATGTGACTAAAGCAATCAAATTATTTTATCAACCTGACAGAAAAGTCATTGATAAGCGTCTGTATAATGAATGACTCACTGTATGTTAAACCGAATGTGTTTGAGGAATGTTTTTGGTGTCTTTTTAAAACTTTTAACTTTTGCATTTAAAGGGTGCAAACTCCTTGGTGGTATTGACCCTGTCTAATTCAAATTGGATCCCCCCCCCAACATAGGACTTGGTACAAAGTAGGTGCTTAAAACATGTCTGTGGTATTATAAAGTCCAATTCAAATGCTACTTCTTCCAAGGAGGCTTCCCAGATGCCCTCATTCATCTAAGTGTTGTTCCTGGTAATATGTTAGATAGCACTTTATCATATTATAATGCACTCATCATGTAATATTATTTAGTTATCTGTGTCTATGTCATATTTCATGGTAAACTCATGAAGTCAAGGACCGTGTCTTATCTAAATCAGGGATTCTTAGCCTTGTTCTCTGCCATGGCTTCCTTTGGCAGTCTGGTAAAGCCTGGATCCCCTTTTTGGAATAATATTTTTAAATGCATAAAGAAAATTGTTAAGAAAACCAGTTATACTGAAATAACATTTATTAACGTGTTAATCTCATGTCAAGAATGCCTGATCTAAACTGTTTCCTAAACTGCCTAGCACAGTACTCTGCAAAACACTAAATAATGCTTGTTGACTGATTGAATATGACCATTTTGTAGCTGAGATCTCTTGTTTTCAATGTGTATGTGTTACATATGTGGCACATGTGCCTGTATGCCAGAAAGCTTAAGTGAAGGAACAGGAGCTCAGATAGGACTGTGATGTGCCTTTCCATTAAGCTCACAGCTTTTTGCTTTTGTGTTTCAGGGGAAATCTCTTCACTCGAACATTAGCTGATATTGTGAACAAAGAAGATTTTGTGCTGGATTCAGAGTATCTCATCACTCTCCTGGTGATAGTCCAAAGTAAGAGCATTGTTAAGTGACCTCAGTGTTGAGTGTTCTCGGTTCCTCTTTGGGGGATTTCTCTTTGACTAATGGGCTGAGGGAACCAAGGGAAAGCTCTTTGACTGCTGCAAGGTCTCAAGGATGTAAAGCTGAACCAGAAGAGACATCTGAGAGGGTCGGGTAGTGTGAGAAATAATTCCTTTGAACCCCTGCTCTATTCCAATCGTTATTAATCTATTTGATATGATTCCATAGGGGTAATGATTATAAATTCTGTATATTAGACCCCAGAGCTTTGAGTTGCAGATTGTAAGTTCATTTGCTTAATCATAGGATGCCAACTAGTTTTTTCTTGTTATGGTGACCAAGCCCAGTGTGGTGGAGGTGACTCAATGACATGGAAAGTCCCCAAACTTATTTTTGTACCTCCAGACCATTTTCTCTTGTCCAACATGAGCAGGTAACCATCTTACAACCACTTAGTGGAGAATGCCTCGTGTCTCGCCCAACTCGAGACCCTCCTGCTGACATACTATTTCTAGCTGATGCGTCAATTTTGGGCCCGTGAAGCAGTAGCTATCAACCAATGGGATTCTGTACTTTGTATAGCTTGATTAGAATGCTCGGGTATCAGATCTGGTGTCAAACCTTATACAAATAAAGCCCTGGAAGAAGAGGGCATCTCAGATCATAAGGAAGATCTGAGGTCCACTTCATTAGAGGGGACCATGGATCCTTTAATAAAGTGTCATTAGCTCAGAGCTCTGCCTCAGTCTGTTTTATTGTAGTTTGGACAGTTTTAATCCCCACCTTAGGAAGCTTCTGGCAGGGATGACCTGTGTCAGGCAGGAGCCTCCCATCCCAGTTGCCTAAGGACCTCATGGGCTCTCCCAGAGAAAGTTGTGGCTCTTACACTTAATAGTTATAAGGCATTGGGGAAGTCAGTTGTCCTCTCAAGACTATAGGTCTTCATCTTTCAAATGGAGATAATAACAAACTTACTTCACAGGGTTCTTGTGAGGAAGGAAAGTGCTCTTGTGGACTTTAATAAATAACACTTTACAACGTACTTTATTGTTGCTTTTGCTGTTGCTAACAAGTTCTTTTCTGTTGTTTGAAGGCCAAACTATTCACAGTGGCAAAAAAGATACGAATCTCTCTCAGACATGGTGGTACCTCGATCAACCAAGTAAGTAAAGCTCTTGAACTAGGTCCCTTTTCCAGTGGATTTTGCACTTCTTGTGTTTAGAAATGGCATTTTCTGCAAGGAGAGACTGTTACAGTCTGTGTTTCAGAATGTGTAGTGAATTGAAGAGGCAAGGTGTGGCACTCATGGGAGCACTGTGGTCATGAACTTTGGTCCTAGGCTCACCTCTGCAGAAACAGAGAGTTGTTTCTCCTGTGCAACCTTGAGTAAATCACCCCTCTTCTCTGGGATTCCCTCCTCTGTAAAACGTGAGGGAAATTGGACTGAATCAGAGAGGAAGAATTGTTTTTCATTAGAAGGCTAAGTCACTCTACCGACTTACCATGAAACCACAGACTCTCTTTGACAATGGAAATTTTATGCATAATATATAGAAATGGATTCTATATGTGATGCAGATGTACAAAAGATTCCTTCCATACTTCCAGGAACTATAATTGTTTTGGTTTGGGCAATCTTTCTGCCAGTGCTGGCCATAGTCCCTCCAGACCCTAGAATATGCTTTTTGAGTTGCTCTGACAAGGGGGAATATAATTCACTTGATGATCCTCTTTGCTCTTAGATGAATTGAACTTAGGTGACAGGCATGCTGTCCATTGCTGGGCTGTTGTTATTTGAAACCCTTTTAACTTGTGCTTTCCTGGCATAGCCTTTGTGAAACCACGGTCACCTCTATATCATGATCAATCACCTCTAATTATTATGGGAAGATAGATTTAAAAAAGATGTGGATGGTCCTTGTCCTTGGTGAGCTCACAGTCTATTTCATAGGTAGGGCAAGACAAATTTACCTGTAATACAAGGTAGAAGAATGGTTTTCCTGAGTCCAGTGGGACCAGAAGAAGAAGGAATTCCCTAGGGGCTTCTAAGACCCCCAGTCTTAGAATATATTCTGAGTACCATGTTAAAATGGTGTTTGAAATGGGTCTTGGAAGATGAGTAACATTAATACTTAACCAAAATTAAAAAATATATATAAATAATAATGAGAAAGCAAACATAGTTAAGTTTGCTTGTTGTGAACTAAGAACTTGCTGTTAGCTTCCAGATGAAAGCCACAGAATCCTAGATTTAGAGGCAGATGGGTTCTGCTTGGAATAGTGGATAGAGTGCTCAATCTGGGGTCAGGAAGATGAGTTTAAAACCTGCCTTAGATACTTAGTAGCTGTGGGACCTTGGGACTAAACCTCTGCCACTTGTCATTAAACCTGCCACTCTCAGTTTCCTCTTCTGTAAAATGGGGATAATAATAGCACTGATCTCAAGTATTATTGTGAAGATAAAATGAGATAATGTATGTAAAATGTTTTGCAACCTTAATGCATTCTATACATGTATCATTATCATCTCAGCCATCATTTAATCAAGCCCTCATTTTAAAAATAAAGACTTATGGCCCATTGGAGCTAAGTGACTCAACTATGGTTGCACAGAATTAAAACACAGTTATTCTGACTCCAGAAGTGTGAAGATGTCAATTCACAAGACTCATCTTGGTGTGGAGGTGATCTTGGGTTCTCAAAGGCTCTGGCAGAGTTTACCAAGCTGCAAATGCTTCAGGTGCAAGGCTAGTGATGATCTCTATGTTTGTCGTCTGAGTTTTTTTTTTCCTTCCAGTTTTTTTTTCCTTCTTCCAGTTTTTTTTTCTTTTTTAGGCAATTAGGGTTAAGTGACTTGCCCAGGGTCACACAGCTATTAAGTGTCAAGTGTTTGGTCTGAGACCAGATTTGAACTTAGGTCCTCCTGACTGCAGGCCCGGTGCTCTATCCACTGCACCACCTCGCTGCCCCCCATAGTCTTTTAAACTAGCTAAGTTCATCGTGCTTCTCATCTGGTTGTCCCCAGTGGGTTTATCAAGTAGAAAAAATACTTACACTGATGAAATCACTGATCTTTTAGGTACTGAAGTAATCTAGAAATAAGTATCGTCCTTCTAACTTGTTAAGATCTTGCTGAATCCAAATTCTATCATCCAATGTCTTAAGTCTTCCACCCAACTTCCTGTCAAGTGCAGACATACCCTCTGGGCTTTCACTCACAAAGCCAGGGTTCAAATCCAGTTCTCCTAACTCCTAGTCTAGCACACTGTCCTCTTCAAAAGGACCAACCTTTAGACCACATATGGAGTATCCTCAGGTGTCATTAGCAATCCCTGAAACCTCTTAGCTGAAACAGTCTAGTTAGGAGAATCCAAAAGCTGGCAGAGTCAAGACTACCGTGTCAGAATATGGAAATTCCTTGTATTCCCAGCTCTTATAGCTTTCAAATGCATGGATCCTCACTTGTAACGTTTCTGAGGTGTTAAACAGAAGGAAAAGTAGGATGTCCTATCCTGGAGAAGAACAGTGAGTTTTAGTCTGAGCACAGTTACGAGTGGGGTCTTCTCCTCCACAGACTGATTGCTGAGGATGACGAGGGAGGCCTCTTTACAGTCACCATGTTTCGGAAGGTGATCAATGATTTCAAAGCCAAAGCCAAAGAAAACAAGTAAGGATTTGGGGTTTCTGCTTTATTTATTTACTTATCCACCCACCCATTTTTTAATATGTCTACTTAGTTTTATTCACATATATTTTTTTTCTTTTTGAAATTTGAAGCTGAAAGCTCAAAAATATCCTAACTATAAACTTGCCCTTTAGTTAATGGCAAAGTCAGGATTTGAACCCTTTTCCCCAGGCTGCTGGTCTGCTAGAACTTTCTTCTTCCTACATATTTAATAATTAGCTAACATATTGCTTCTTTTAAAAAATATTTTATTTTTTCCCCAATTACATGTTAAAACAATTTTTAACATTTTTTTTAAGTTTTGTGTTCCAAATTCTATGTCTCCCTGTCTTTTTCCTCCCCTCTCCCTGGGACGGTAAGCAGTCAGATATAGGTTATATATTTACAATCACATAAAACATTTCCACATTACTTCTTTTAAGGTTCATTGTCCGTGAATTTTTCTATGATGAAAAAGAAATTAAAACTGAAAGGGAAGAGATGAGTAAATTGCTGTCTGAAAAGAAGCAACAGTATGTAAGTATTTGAGCCAGGTGAATTCGTACTGAATTTCCAAACTTTCTGCCCCACCCTTTGGTTATCCCTTTACCAGGGCAGATGTTTTAGCTAGAAGAGGCCCTTTGTTTGAAGCTTGGAAGTTTCCCCGATTTAGTCTCCAACTGTTTAAGAGAGAGATCTTGGGGAAGCCTGTCGTCTCTTAATTCTCACCTACTTCCACCAGGTAGGATCATCTGACCTCATAGGAGCTTTCTGCCAGGTGCTGTAGGAAAGCGGCCACAGGCATTGAGATGAACATGAGCTCAGTTTCCCGTTGAAAGAGATCTTAGGGTGCCCTCACACTGAGGCACAACAATTCAGAGGTTCATTGGTCAGAGGGACCAACGCAACTCTCTGTTGATGGCAATAAGGCAGCTATGCTGAAGGGAGTGGTGCTTGGTGTCTGGATGTACCAAACAACTACCTCATGTCTTTATGTACTCATGTTTTTGGCAAGGCATCTGCCTCAAAATGTATCCTCCAGCAATAGTATCATGTGAGCTTTATACTGTGTGAAGGAAGCTTAGCTTAGTATATAATGAAAGTAACAGACTTTCCATTTTTGTTTTTATTATTTTTTTTTTTTTAGTGAGGCAATTGGGGTTAAGTGACTTGCCTAGAGTCACACAGCTAGGAAGTATTATGTGTCTGAGGTCACATTTGAACTCAGGTCCTCCTGACTCCAAGGCCGGAGCTTATCCACTGCATCACCTAGCTGCCCCCAGACTTTCCATTTTTAAAGACGATCTGCATGGCCTTTGGGCAAATCATTATTTCTTTCTGTACCCTAGTTTGCTCCTCTGTAAAGTGGGCTTAAAACATACGCAACCCCACCCAAATCATAGTCAGGTTTTCAGAAGCCAGAAGAACTATGTCCCCTATTGCTCCTTTTCCTCAGAGAGTACAGTGAATCTTTTATTACCATGCTTACCATCAAGGGTTCTGGTTCTGAGGTCCTGTGAATCTCCACTGATTTTCAGGACTGGTCATGAAAACGGAGAGCGAGTCCAAAAAGCCCCTTTGCTTTCTTTGGGGGGGCGGGGAAGGCTTTATGCAAATCAACACAAAATTTGTTAAAAGCATGTCATCCTTACTGCTGAAGTTAGAAAAATAAGTTTATTCTAAAGGCAGTTGAAGTTTTAGAAGTGTTATTTGTATGGAAGAGTATTTGTTAATATATTATCCTATGTTCTGTTTTTTGGCCAAAGTTTGATGTCAGATGTTTAGATAACTCATAGAATCCTGAATATGCTGCAATTCAGGCTTTGAATAACCCTTTTCCATGTGTATTGGGAAAAAGCAAAAAACATAGTAAACGATCACTACTGTAAACAGATTACCTGGCACCTCCATGAACTGGAATTTTGTGACTGCCCCTACTTTTAGCAGTAAGAGATATATGACAAGAAAGAAAAGATGTCAGAGATTTAGACATAAAAAACTTCAAACCTCTGGCCTAGGTCTGGTGTTCAGTCACCCACAACTTTCATATTGTCTTGAACAATAACAGATGACGTTCCATTCAGTACAGTGGCCCTGAACTCCCCGAGTATCCTCAGACATCAAAGAATCAGTCAATTCTGGTCACTGGACTTGACTTTATTGAGGCAGGTCTCAGTGGGACTTTGCCAAATAAGACTAAGTAAGAGCTAGAACACAGGTTTTATTTTTTTTTAGTTGGGAAAGAGGGAAGAGTGGGAGTAGATGATTTCTGAGGCTCCTTTCACTGCTAAGTCTACGATTCTATTAACCTTGAGCTAACTAGAAAATCTTGTTACCCAGAACTACCTCTCTCATCAATTCCCTGAGCATTCCTGTTTATCCACATTTTTTAAAGAATAAAAATTAAACGGGCAGCTAGGTGGTGCAATGGATAGAGGTCCTGGAGTCAGGAGGACCTGAGTTCAAATCCCTCCTCAGACACTTGCCATTTCCTAGCTGTGTGACCCTGAGCAAGTCACTTAACCCCATTGCCTAACCCCCCCGCCAATACTTATATGTGTGTGTGTGTGTGTGTGTGTGTGTGTATACATATATGTAGCTACGTGATGCAGTAGAGAGAGCTCTGGCCTTGGAGTCAGGAGATCCTGAGTTCAAATCCAGCCTCGGACACTTGACACTGTGTGACCCTGGGCAAGTCACTTAACCCCAACTGCCTCACCAAAAAGCCAAAAAAAAGAATAAAAATTAAAGCACTACTTCTCTCCCCAGGTACCCCCCACCCCCAATCAAAGGACCAATACATCATCCCTTCCTGACTCGAAGCCAGCTATCTTTTCTAATGCTTTACCTGTGAATTTTATCTAATTTCCAGGACCTGGACTATCTAAGAGTCATTTTTATTTCCAGGGAAACTTTTTAGAAGGCTGTGCTAAGCAGGAGGGATAAAGTGGGGCTCTTGGCACTACCCTCCGTATCATCACAAGCCAACCTGAGACCACCCCGTTTATCAGTGTGTTATACAAGAACATCACACCTGCCATGTGGGTTATCAGATTGCTGGTCTAGAATTTTACATGGTATTCCACTTCTGTACATCTCCATCCTCCCCCCTCCCCCGCCCCAGGGAGTGTGGCCAAGGTTTCTTTAAGAAGGGAAATGGAGCTCTGTAACAGGCATCCAACTTTTAAACATTTAATAGCTCTCAACCTTCTCATCTTATTATATGGGGAAAGTAGCATACTGCCCACTAACCTTTCAGTGGGGGTAGAGGTAGGGGTAGAGTGAGTTTGGGGTGTTTTACAGTGTTGGGTTTAGAAACTATTTTCTGTCTTAATCCATTTTAAATTGATTATATTATACATTAAGAATTAGTCATTTCATCCTTTTATTCTTTTTAGTTTTTTAAAATTTTTATTTTATTTTAATTTTTAAAATTTTATTTATTTTTTTCCTTCTTTTATTCTTGACCAAGGAGAAAAAAGCTTTATTTCTGCTTTCATTGTGCTCCTTCATTTCAGTCAGTGTTTAAAGAGACAAGATGAAATCTCAGATCTACAAATTCAATCCTGATATTTCCTGAGCTACAGTCCAGTACCAGCAACTGTCTATTCATCATCTTCTAGTCTTTTTTCACTTAACACCCCCTCCACACATTCTACAGCATAGTTTTGCTGGTCTTGCAATTTCTCAGGACTCTCCATCTCCCATCTTCATGCCTTTACATTGGCTGTCTCATGACTGGAAAGTTCTACCCCCTCACCTCTATTTCCATGACTTCCTTCAAGATTCAGGGAGGGCTTGGACCATTCCACTAACTTTTTGTGTTGCTCTATGAGGGAAAACACAAAATATAGGCAAAGGCTGTATATATTCCAAGCGTAGTATGTGATCTTAATCCCTCTTTCAGCAATTGGCTTTGGTCCTGGAATTGTGGGCATGGAAATGCACCAGGGCAGGCACAGGCCATTTTCAGTTTCCCCAGGTTAGATGACAGATCTAACTTGTACACTTAATCTCTAGGATTGATGTTAAATTTCATCATTCACTTGCTTGCTTTTAGATGCTTTTCATTGATTTAATGTTAGTTTGTGTTCTGATGCATGTTTGCTGAAAGATTAATAAATCATTTCTATGCTTATAGCAAACTTCACGTGTTGCTCTTAAAAAGAGATCATCTACCTTCCCGGATCACATGGTTAAGGTAACCCCGATAGGGAACCCTGGTAGGCCCACTACGGGGCAGACGGAGAAAGAAAAAGAGAGTGAGGGCGAGGGTGAGGTAAGCAATTCTGCGTGGGGAGCTTTTCTATTCCCTCTCCAGGCTTCGAGGTCTTTAACTTTTGATAAAATGAATTTCTTCCCACCATTTTCATCATCTGGTGTGGCTTTCACTAGACCTCAAATTAATAAAAGTGATGAAAAAGGGGACCCTTCCCTTGCCAATCATGCCTTTTCCTAATCTATAGGACTTTTTGTTAACTGCTGCCTCTTCCCCCTAATACCTAAATGAATGTGCTTCTTGGTCAGGTGGGCTAGGTTATCCCAGGATTCTGAGTGGATGGAGCTGATTGGGAGACATGAGTCCTTGGCTTTTTGACGGGTTCTGCCACTAACTCATCTGGATATTGGGCAGATCATCTATGCTCTCTTGGTTTCTCCATCTGTACAAATGAAGAGAATGGTACTCAACCACCTACCAACCTATCTTGAGGTGTTGGGGAGGATTCATGCACTATGGTCTTTGAAGTGCTTTTAAGATTCCTGAGAAGAATCTGTAGCTTGTGCTGATTATCATCAGTTTTGTCACTATCTACATCAAGAGAAGCACTATTGAAAGTTTTGCCACTATCTACATCAAGGGTAGCACTATTGAAATCCGCGCATTTCCCCTGCCAAGCAAGGCTGGGGCTTTAAGCTGGTCTGAAATCTAGTCTTGGAATGTTGGTAGAGCACTTAGCACTGTTGACATTACAGCTTGCAATGAAAACCGTAAAGGATCCCAAGTTGGAAATTGTTGTCAGACAGAAGCCTGAAATCTGCCTGGTATCAGAACTTACGTTTAAGGTGGGCTCGCTAGTTTTCCCAGACACTGGTATAGATGGTATGCATGTGCTGGGTGGCTGACCTGCTAATTTCCTTCAACTCTACTTAATGGAGTCTGGAGAATTTGATGTCAATCAGCCCCCATAATATATTTGGGACTGGTTTATCTTTCTGGAAGGCGGACTTCTGGGTGGCTTCTCCACCTTTTCAGCTTTTGCAAGCTTCTGGTTCTTATCAACATCAATGTTCTGTCATAATGAAAAGTTTCTTTTTAACATTCTGTGTCTGGAGGTAGAAGAGAAAGGTGACAACCTGATTTCTTTTCAAGGGTCCCCTTTTGCGCTGGCTCAAAGTAAACTTCAGTGAAGCTTTTATTGCCTGGATTCACTTAAAGGCTTTGAGAGTCTTTGTTGAATCTGTGCTAAGGTAAGTGAACCCAGACCACATGTCTAGAAATACCATTTTTCTTAAGGCAGCTAGGTGGCACCTGGTCTAGAATTAAGAAGACAGTTCAAATTTGTGACCCAGGGCAAATTCCTTCACTTCTATTTGCAAAATGAGTATAATAGCACCTTTCCCCTAAGGTTATTAAGAGGAGACAGATGAGGCATTTGTGATGTGGTTATCCTGGTACATGTTAGATGCTATATAAATGCTAGCCATTGATTAACATTTTATTTTTAATTAATATTTTGCATAGTATTTTTAGGTAGTATTAATTAGTATAACTAGTATTCTTCAACTACTTTGTCTTATTGATGATGATGACTGGACCTGGACTCAGAAGAGTTAGGGTTCAAGTCCCAGATCTGACACTGTGTGTGACTACAGGCAGCTCACTTTAGCTTAGAACATCAGTTTATTCATCTATAAAATGGAGATGACATCTACCTTATCTTCTTAGGGTCACAAGGAAAACACTGCAAATTTTTAAGACTAAAGGAATATTGTTACTGTTATGTGGCTGAGATTTTATGGAATTTTAGAGGGGACTGTCGAACAAATTACATAGGCCTGTATCATCTGTATAGGTAATACAGCCTCCCACCTGTGTTATGTGGGGGCACGGGCACTGGGTAGAGATTGTAAGACTGTTAAATACTGGTAATAGGTACACTCTTGCAGCAGAATGAGAACATTTCTGTCCAGTCTCTTCACAGACGTGAAGAACAGGGCAATACTAGATGCATATTAAAACCGGTAAAACAATAATCCCCTGGGCAGCTGGGTGGTGCAGTGGATAGAGCACCAGCCCTGGATTCAGGAGGACCTGAGTTCAAATCTGGCCTCCGACACATAACACTTACTAGCTGTGTGACCCTGGGCAAGTCACTTAACCCACTGCCTAGCCCCCCCACCAAACAACAACAATATTCCTGGAGAAATCTCCATCGAAGAGATGGATGTGACAGGAGGAGGGAAAAGCCAAAAGGCTGCATGAAAAAGCCTATGTTGCAACCAAGGACCACTATAGAGGGGAGTGGTGAGGATGGAGAAGACAGGAGAGAGGAGGGAAGAGGAGAAGGACAGAAGAAAGAGTATAGAGGAGAGAGAGGGAAATGGAGGGGAGGGGACAGGAGAGGGAGCAGCGAGGAGGAAAAGAGGGTGGTAGGATAGAGGAGAGAGAGGGGAGGGAAGGTCTACCCCATGATCCTATTTGCTTTGAATGAAAAGGTAACAAAAATAACTTTCAAAATCCAAGTTTCTCTATATTTGGAGGTGGTGCCTATTTGCTATCAAAATTTTCCCCTTCTATGCTGACATATTCCTGTGGGTCTCTACCTTTCAGAGGCTGCCAACTTTTTAAGGGAGAACAGGATTTTGAGAAATGTTCCAAGATAGTAACTTCTTGGTGAGCCACCCCAGCTGGTGGCAGATTTTATATCTCTGAAGGTCTTTGTTTAATAGAGTTGAGGTTTAAGAAGTAGGATGGATTGAAGGAAGTGTTGCCTTCTCTTAGGGAAGAACAAAACAAAACATGGCTAATTATTATTTCACTTTCCTTTCCCAAAAGATCCCTCCCAGAGAGCCATCCTTTACAACAAAGAATAAGAAAAATAATTCAGCGGAACAAACATGCCAAGTCTATATGAATATGTAGTTTCCCACAATTGCTCCCCATCTCTACAACTTTAGCACAACTAATCATGTATTAGATATCTACTATGTACCAGGTGCTATGGTTACAGATAAAAAAGAAATAGTCTTTGCCCTCAAGGGCCATCTATGTTACCTGGAGGATACACATGAAAATAGGTAATATAAAGTGATATTTTTTTGGGGGGGAAGAAGGCACAAAGAATGTTAATTAGCTAATTGGCTAATTATCACCAGGGAGAATATTGCAACAGAAGACCAGAAAAAACATGAGGCTTTAGGGGGTTATGCTTTCATAAACCTAAAGTTCTCACCTCCAATGTTTTTAGCACCTAATGACATGAGTCAACAAATAGTCAAACTCATTTTTGCTCCAGTTTTATACATAGGGAAACTCCAGTGAATCTCTCCTTGCCACATGTATAATTTGGAATGTCTTGATGTAAAGTCTTTTAATTTCTAAGGGGTATAGGGTGTATTCAGAGATTAGTACCTCCGGTATGAGGGCTGCTCTCCACCTTTGGTGTCCACCTGATCCACCTCTCACCTGTGGCTCCAAGAAGCTGTAGCATGCATAGCAGCTATACCCCAGTAAACAGTTTTGGCCTGATAGGCTTAACCAGGTCAAGGGGTCTCAAAACCGTTGGTGAGTTAGGGAGCTGTCTACCCCAAGAATATGAAGACTTCCTCTGGTGGAATGGGTGGATAAAAACAATTTGTGGGCCAAAAAGGGAAAAATTTTACTTTTAACGGTCAGTTCTGACAACAGAATGACTACAAAAATGGCATTTGAGTCCAAGAACCATTGGGCCCCCTGACAGCCTTTTTTTTTTTTTTAACAAAACAAAAACCAACGACCATAAGAGTATTTTACTCTTTTATAGCTTGGTATAAATGCTCATTTCTTTAGGATACATCTTTTGTTCAGGAACAACTTCCATTTTTAGCCAGCATTTACTTTTTAGAGTAAGTTGATTCTAAAGGCTCCTGAGGTTCTTTTTTTCTACCTTCCCATTCTTACACTAGTAACTTTAGAAGGTACTAGTCATACACTCACCCCAGAGCTCAAGTAAACAACGTCCTTCATGTGCCAGAATTCTGACACCTCTATCCTTTATTTTTTTGGGTTGGGGGCGGGAGGGAGAAGCAGCAATTGGGCTTGTGACTTGCCTAGAGTCACATAGTGTCTAAGACCAAATCTGAACTCAGGTCCTCCTGACTCCAGGGCCTGGTACTCTATCCACTGCGCCACCTAACTGTTGGACATCACTGATGTTTAGAGTGATGCTTGTAGCCTATAGTCTTATAGACTATTATATTCAATGTCAGCAACTTTTGTCTATTAGAAACAGTACTATGGTAAACTGGGACTAATGTATTTTAAATGTCAAGCAGCAAACTAGTAATGTCTACTTATTTGAGGTTTTACTGTATATCTTAAGATGGTCTTGATCTTTACCCTTTGAGTCAATAATGTTCTATACATTTGAAAAAGGTATGGACTACCCGTGAATTTTCAGGCAGTGCTTTTACAACCCCACAAGAAGGCCACAAAACGTTTAAGAGAAGTTCTAAACTCAGTCTTCAAACACCTGGATGAAGTAGCAGCAGCAAGTATACTGGATGTATGTATATCACCTATGACAAGAAATAATTGTATTTTATTTCCATTATAAAAGTGTGTGTGTGTGTAGGAAATAAATCAATGTGAAGGATGGCAGGAAGAATTAGTTTCAATATCTAGAGATAAGTTCTTGTCAAGTGTTAGATTTAGAGCTGAGCAGTGTTTTCAAAGGCTGAAACATGGAAAATAAAACTGGTGAAACTTAAAAAAAAACCAGCTTGCTCTTTCAAGAATGTACTTAGTCTTTTTTTCCTTTTCTAGGCCTCTGTGGATATTCCTGGATTACAACTAAATAACCAAGATTATTTTCCTTATGTCTACTTTCACATTGACCTTAGTCTTCTTGACTAGTTTTTTGAGTCTGGTAACCCTTAGTAACTCTAGGAATAACCTTATTTCATGTCTTTATGTAATCAAATTAAACTGTAGATGCTGTCTTCTCTAAGTTAGAGAATTCAGAATGTTACTCACAAAATTTACTCACAAAAATTACTTATGGTTGTATTTATTTTTTGTAAGTTACAATAAAGAAAAGCTCCCATAGTCTTTGAACTTTGAAGTATTTTTTCTTGAGTTCAACTTAAACATAATTAAAAGCTAATACTGAACACCTGGTCACCCTACACGTATTCAAGGCATTATATGTACAAACATGTAAAGTAATTACAACTGTTTTGTACTTAAGTCTCATAGTTCTGGTTCCCTGCCCCAAAGTCCAAGATACACAATTTGCCAAGGTTGAAGAGTCCAGGTCCTAAGTAAGGAGGGCCTAAGTATCAGTTCCATGCTTTACACAGAAGTCTGAAAGAGACTATTACAAATGGGGTACATCATGCCATTTAACAAACATTTGGAAACTTCTTATTGCCTAGCTATATACCTGGGTTCTGTTCCCTGATATTCATTTGATGAGGCCTAAAAAGAGGACCGAGAGCAGTAGATTGGAAATGAAGCAATTGGTTAAAACCTACTTTCAAGCAAAGGAAAGACTAGGGATAGGTGGCTGCTTCCAGACAAGAAGCACTTTAAAAACAGTAGGTGATTAAGTTTTGCCTGGCTTTCACAGATGCTTTGTTCCTAATTCTGCTCACGAGTATACAGAGTATATCTCACATAAAAGTTTTGTCTGGGTTCTCAAAACTGAAACTAAATTTATAAAATGCAAAAATAAAAAAGTGCTACAAGCAAGGGGTGTTTTGTCTTTCTGTAGGCATTTAGTTTACAAAGATAATATAATTAAAACAAGAGAAATCTGAAAACAGACCCAGTGAAAACAAAAATAAGAAAGGAAAAAAAAAGATGGTAAGGGGAAAAGGAAGCCAGAGAGCCACATCTCTCCAAATGTTCAAAAAAGAAAGGCATATATATTGTGTTGTTACTCTTCACCTATAGAAGGGAAGAAAGAAACCCAAAGGCCATTATGATGTGAGGATAGTTGCTAGTCACAACCCTTAAACCCTGAATTAAACTTTGTGATGTGGACTTGTTTTCATACATGATAGGCACTGTCAAAAATACTTTGTGTTTTTATTCTTTAACTGGAACAAAGCATTGTGTTTAAATGAAGAAAAAAAATCACAGTTAAAAACTTAGTAAAGTAACAGCCTTAAAGAACCTACAAACAGCACACTTGGGATGGAAAAAAATGTTTTCAACAGCAACAACAAAAAAAATCATTTATCTTCAAAATATTATTTGACAGAATACAATCAAATTCACTGGTTAACAACAATTCATAGAATTTTTCAATGTTTTTCTTGAGATGCAAACAGTTCACTGTTACAGTGTTTCAAATGACCAAACAATGCTGCTTCAGTTTTTAAAAAAGGCCACTGGTATATCCATTTGATTGCAAAGGATGTTCCACCACTGCTGGAAAAATCCGCTCCCAAGAAGTATATGTCATATCTCACAACTCATCTTTTCCTAAGTCGTCGAGTTCTACATCACTGAGGTCAATATCATCTTCAACGGGAAGCTGTGAGACAGTAAATGGGATTTTACAGAAGGTGGCAAAGTAATACCTTAGAGTCAGACTTGTAAATCCTGGAAGGATCTTTAAAGAGCATCTAAATACAACTTCCTTCCTTTTACACATGGGTTAAATGCCTATTACACAGCATACTTTCTGATCCTTTTTAATCTCACCCTTAAACCTCTTCCTCTCAACTTCCATGTGCCTAAATCTAACAGTAGATTAAGTATTACAAATGACCAACAAAAAGAATTTGACCACTGTTACATAGTTTCTTAAACATAGTTCTACTTCAGTCATGCAGAAACAATATGTTGATCCTAACAGCTCAGATGCTCTAGCCTTCTAAACTCCAAAGTAATGACTTATTAACTATTAACACAACACATGAGACAATGGGCCAAAGCCATAATATTCCCTGTCATAGTGTCAAAATCTCAGCTCGAAGGGCAAACCTCCGAAGTTATGTGGTTCAATCTCCTCAGTTTAGAGATGAGGAAAGTGAGGCACCAAGGAAGTTTAGGTAAGTTGCCTAAGACAAATAGTTGTCAATGAGAGGTGGAAGGGTCCTCTTGAAACTGGGTCCTCTTTATTCAAGAGTGATGGTATTTCTCATGAGAAAACAAAAGATTCTGGAGTGGCTAAGTGTTAAGTGATGGAGCTAACAGTAAAAATTCAAAGAATCACTGCAGTAAATACAAAATACAAAAGATTTGTGTCTCCTAGCACATGACAGAAAGCAGCCTTAACCTCAGTTTCCTCAACTGTGAAATAGGAATAATAACAGCATCTACTTTGCAGGGTTGTTGTGAAAATCAAATGAGATAATATTTATAAAATGCTTAGCACAACACAGGAGGCACTACATAAATGCTTACCTCACCATCTTTGCCATCCCAAGGGGCTACAGTGCTTATTTTAGGGAAAACACCACCACCTACTGGTGCTGTGGAGCCACGGCCAACAGAAAGCTCTCTGTAAAATAAACAAATAAATGGAAAATTGTATGATTTAAAACATCTCAAAATATGTATTTGGAGAGCCAAGTAAAACGTGACTTCAACATTCTTAAATACTGGAAAATATACATTTCAAGCCAATTTCCCCAGTTACATTTAAGTGCAATTAGAAATCAGTAACAAATACAAAAACATCTGATTCTTTTTTCACTTAAAATGGTACAATTCCAAGTATTTGGTTTTCTCATTATTTCAGTTCATGAACTAGAAAGCAAGACGGTTCTGAAAGAATGATTTTATCCTCAAACTTGGCACTGCAGTTAAATTCTCAAGTAGCTGATTAAAACAAAACCTTGATTTGTGAGTGTTAGTTTTGCCAGGTTAATTACTTGTTAAGCGCCATATACAACTTACTTCAGCAGAAAGCACAATAAGTGTTACATGCTTACTAAGCAGTGGCATGTTTCATGAAAAAGAAAAAAACAAAACAAAACCAAAAACCTAACTCTTTTTTCCTGCATCAGATTAGCTGGGGTACTAGGGTATACCAATATAGGTAGCAGGGTATTCTGTTCAAAGTGTCTGGGTCAATTGCATGCATAATTTTTGTACTGTTTTGGTACTGTGAGAAGATGACGCCCAGCAAGAAGGTACTCTGCACATGGAACAAACGGTTGGCTTTCCATTCCCTAAATCCTTAGATCCTATGTAGTCTCCTATAATCTCCACTGCCTCTTCCCTTCTTCTCAAGAAACCCCTTGTTTCATTTTAGCAAGTAATTGCAAGGATCATAGCTGGCTAGAATTTTAGCTCTGGCTCTTTGGTCCCCCCTTCAGCCTCTAAGAGTCTAAGCCATGTAGGAGTGAATACAATACATCTATGTCTTTGTGGAGCCACAGCACGACAACTCAGTGGAGGTGGAGCCAACATAGTGAACAAAAGGGCAGGGACTCACCTCAGCTCTCCCAGATTACCCTACAAATACCTTTAAAATAATGCCTTAAAACAAATTTTGGAGTGGCAGAACCCACAAAAGGATGGGGTGAAACAGCTTTCTAGCCAAGACAACTTACAAGGCTGTCTCACTAGGGTGAGTGAGGAGCGCAGTCCAGTGCAGGCTGCACCAGCACAGCCCCACCAGCCAACTAGGAGGAGGCCTTGGAAGTGACTGAATCAGCAGTGGCAGTGGCTACTTCTGGAGTTCTCAGTCTACAGATGGTTAAGGGGTTGGACAACTGGTCAGAAGATCAGAAGTTCTGCTGGCACTGGGGGCAGGACACCTGCTGCACTGCCCCCATGGATCCGATTTGCTATCCTGGGGTGAGGAGAAACACTAGCACAATCAGAGCTTGTAGCTGCAGGGGAGCAGGGACTCTGGTCACACCTCCAGGGTAGAAGAGAACACAGGCCAGGAGAGCAGTAAACACACCTCTCCTTAGATCATACCACCTTGGAAGAACTGAAAGCTTACACACCTCCAGAACTAGCTCTGGAAACAGCTGCACAAAAACCCTGAAGCTTGGGAAAGTGTGCCAAGACATCAAGAAACAATCAAACAAAATCAAAAGAATAAAAAAAAAAAGTACAATCTCATTGGAAAAACAACTGATCTGGAAAACAGATCCAGGAGAGATAATTTAAAAATTATTAGACTACTTGAAAGCCAAAATTAAAAAAAAGAGCCTAGACAGCATTCAAGAAATCATCAAGGAAAACGGCCCTAAAGGGCTATAAAACCATGCATATCATTTGACCAAGCAATACCACTACTAGGTCTGTATCCCAAAGAAATAAAAAAGCAACAAAAATGAAAATGACTTATACATACAAAAATATTTACAGCAGCTTTTTTTATAGTGGCAAAGAATTGGAAATTGAGGGGATGTCCATCAATCAGGAAATGGCTGAACAAGTTGTTGCATACGAATGTAATGGAATACTGTTGTGGGGCCACCTAGCTGCCCCAGATTTAGTTATTCTCAATGATCCAAGACAATTCTTGAGGACTTATGATCAAAACTGTTATCCCTCTCCTGAGAAAGAACTGATGGAGTCTGGTTGCAGATGGAAGCATACTTTTTCTTTCCTTCTTTCTTTTTGTCTGTTTTCTTTCACAACATGGCTAAATAAGGAAATGTTTTGCATGACTGCACATGTATAATCTGTAGGCACTATTATCCTTATTTTACAAATGAAACCGAGGTGGACAGAAGTTAATTGATTCGTCCAGGGTCATACAACTAAGTGTCCAAGACTGGTTTTGAACTCCTGCTGTCCTGATTCCAGGTCTAGCACTCTAGCCACCAAACCACCTAGTGGCCTTCCAACCTCTCCATTTTAAAATGAACTAAATCCTCAGAAAGGGTAAATGATCTTTTCAAGGTAAAAGAGTTTATTAGAGCCAGAACCGTGGAGCCCCCAAATTTAAACGAGATCCTCAGAAGAAAATTATTTCAAAGAATACACAACTTGAAGGCAAATCTAGAGACTATCAAGTTTATAGCTTATGGCAATGTAGTACAATGGATGGAAAGCTGACACTGAAGCCAGGAAAACCTGCCTGAGTTCAAGTCTGCCCAGGTCACAACCTCTCAGTGTTCTAGGCTAGAGGTGTCAAACACCAAGGCCTACAACACTCCCCACTGGGGCTGAGCCAGATTAAAATATAATTGGTAAATATTTAATAAAATAAAACATAGGTAATATTGCATTTTAAAATTAAGTCAACCTGTAGCTGGCAAGGATTCTTATTTATGGCCCCTGTTTCTATTTGAGTTTGACATAACTGCCTGAAAGCAACTTTCTAAGACTGTTACAGTTGCTGATCTTTCATAAGAGGAGGGAATTTTAGTACTGGAGAATTCTTTGCATGGTTGAAACCACAGAACCAGACCCACTTTCCCTATTAAAAATTTTTTTTTCAAGACAAAATGTCTTATAAATTAGCAACTAGGAGGAGAAACTTTCTACTTAAAAGAGTTTCAGCTTACACTCATTATTAGCCCAAAATGTAGAAAATCCCTGAGTATTCTGCAAATTTTGCTACTTCTTAGAATTTAGAGCAGAAAGTTACTTTAAAGATCTAAACCAAACCTACCTCCTTTTCTACCTGAAAAAAACGAGACACAGATATTGAAACTTGAGATAAGGGTCTCCCAGAGCCTCTGGAGTCCAAACATACTCTTCCATTAAAAAATTATCAAAAATATCTCTTTTGAAAACACTTTAACTGAATTTAAAAGGATTTCAACGTTTCCTCTTTTTCACAATGGGTCTTTGTACATATTTTAGCAGCCAGGTGGCCCGCTAGGTGGGTAGAGTGCTGGACCTGGTGTCAGAAGATCCGTGTTCAAATTTTGCATCAGAAACTTACTAGCTGGGTAACCCTGGGCAAATCGCTTAACCTTTGTCTGTCTCAGGTCCCTCATTTGTAATACTACTTATTACCCTTGCAGGGTTGTTGTGAAGATCAAATGAGACAGTATTTGGTAAAAAGTGCTTAGCTCCTAGTAGGCACTATAAATGCTTATTCCTTTCCCTTGCCTTTTGTCCATTGCTTCTCTGTCAGGATGAAGGGAGTGTGATTCATCTTCAATACTCTGGACTCATGGTTTATCATTGAACTAATCACACACAGTTCTAAAGCATTTCAAAATTGTTGGCAATAGTAAGTGCTATATACATGTTAATTATCGTTAAAGCACTTTGCAAACCTTAAAGCACTATGTAAATGCTAGCTTTTTATTATCACTTTAATCACTATGTACTAGGACAATACCTGTAGCCATTTTAATTTCTTGAACATGCTTTTTTGAAATGTAAGTAAATCCAGTCAATTAACAAGGGTTATTGTAATTTTAGCCTTAATTATTCCATCATATAATAAGCTAGTGGTTTGGGGGAATGTTTCCAGAGATTTCAATAAAATCCAAACCTTAAAAGAATCTGCTAGGAATTGACTTTTATGTATCTGCTTTTTGTTATCACATGCAATCTTTCTTAAGGGCTCCTGTCCTAGACATTAACTGTGCACATACTGAGTGAGAAACTGTGTGTCTCTCTCCTCTCTAACAGACTACATCAATTCCTTCCTAAGAGGAGGCACTTAATAAAAACTCTAGATGCAACTGAGTAGTGTTAATATAAATAACAATCATGGTCTTTATTGCTACTCAGGCATATTTTATCTATCATTCCCCACAAAAAAGTGTTCTGAAGTACTGAGTATTAGAAGATTCAACTGCTGAAAAGGGGTGAAGCACGCATGAATAGATCTCATTAGCAAAGTCATCTCTACCAAAGGAACCATATCTCTAATCTATTTCTGACAAAGTCTGTTTCTCAGCAATCTGTATTCATTGGCAAAAATATGACATGGTGAGATAAATCAGAAATCTCCTCATTTTACAGATGAGGAAAGCAAGTTAAGTATTAAGCTGAGATTGGGATCTAGTTCTCCTGACTCAAAATCCAGGGCTCTTTACATTACACTATTATAGATGTACAATTACACAACAGATAGATTCAAATAAATTTTGGGGGTAGTTCATTAATTTTCTTTCCTAGAGAAGCTTACTACTTAAAAGTTAGTATTACTATGGTTCCTGCAGAACTAAAGCTGCTCTAAATCAGTAGTTATCTACTTTTTGGTTTTAGGACCTCTTTTAGAACTCTTACAAATGACTGAGGACTCCTTTACACTCTTAGAAAATGACTGAGGACCCCAAAGAGCTTTTGTTTATAAAGCTTAGTTTTAGCTTAGAAATGAAAACTGATAAACTTAAAAAAAAAAACCAAACTTACATGTTTTTGTAAAATCTCTTAGTTATTTAAAAGACGAATAACATTTTAGTATTATTAAGAAAAATTTTGACTTCAAGGACTTCCAGAACAGTTTTTTGGGATGTCCCAGGGGTCTGCTGACCATATTGGAAAACTGCTGCTTTTGAGCAGGGATTTTAATCTGGATACAGAGACTCTTGAAAAGGTCCGTGGATAGATTTCTTTGGGGTGGAGGTGGGGCGGGGTGGGGTGATGAAGATCAAGAACAGAAGGTAGGCCTGTGAAATTGGATAGGGGAAAAATTAAATCTTTATTTTCACTAACTTCTAACTGAAAGTTAGCAATTCTTTTGTATTTTGAAACATCATCCTGAGAAGGGATCCATAGGCTTCAGACTGCTAAATGGGATCCAAGACACATAAACCCTTAAAGAGAAACTTTATTCTTTACTATTCACTAGCAATTTCAGGAAAAAAAACATCCCCGCATTTGCGATATCTTTGAGACATTGAATAGGCAGTTAATGATTCAGGACTATAACTCAGAGGAGACTAGGACTGGAAATACAGATTTGGATTCATCATCATAGATGACAATTAAACCCATTTATGAGAATGGGATCATGAAAGACCATTAGAGAAAAGGGCCCGGGACAGAACCCTGGTGCACACCTATAGTTATTTGTGGAGTATTGTAGATGATGATACTGTAAAAGAGACTGAGAAGGAGGAGAACAAAGAAAGAGAAATATCATGAAAACCCAAAGGAAAACAGGGCTGTTAAAATTTGAAATGTTGCAGAGGGTAGAAGTCAAAAAAGGATGAAGACTGAGATAGGCCAATTTCAGTTGAGTGACAAGGCAGGAATCCAGATTGTATTAAGTTTAGAAGTGAATGAGAGAAAAATGAAAGAACAAATGAAGTCGACAAATGGAGAAAGCTTTTTCAAGTAGTTTGAGAAATAAAGCAGAACTAGAGGATAGTATCTTGTGGTCATGGTGGGATGTAGTAAGTAGTAAAGATTAGCTAAGGATAGGAGAGGCTTGGGTTTGTTTAGAGGCAGAAGGAAAGGAACTAGTAGAATGCTGAAGTAGACAAAAGGGTCTGGGGTAGAGACTCAATCTTTTTTTTTTTTTTTTGGATTCAATCTTATACTACTAGAAGCTTCTAACTGGTTACATCCAGGTTTACAAAGATTAGGTATTACACTTACTTCCCTACAAAAAGCACATAATTTATTATTCAAATTCCACAAGTAATTTGAGAAAAGATAAGCTATTGGCCCAGGCCAATTTCTGTATATTGCAATCTCCCACATAATAACAATCTCTTATTTTTGTTAGATAACATAGTGAGGGAACCAAAACATTTGTCAGATGCTTTTTTTTTTTGGTTTAGGCAACGGGGTTAAGTTACTTGCCCAGGGTCACACAGCTAATGAGTGTTATGTGTCTGAGGCCGGATTTGAACTCAGGTTCTCCTGAATCCACAGCCGGTGCTCTATGCACTGTGCCACCTAGCTGCCCCCATCGGATGCTTTTAATACAAAAAAAGATATGCTTTGCTACCCCTGCAGAATCATAAAGTTTTAAAGCTAAAAGTGATTTAAGAGATTATCTAGTCTAACTCCTTTAAAGATGAAGAAAATAACTGTTAAAAACCAAGAAAGCTGATATCTCTTCTTCCATATTTTAGATACAACAACATCATTAAAGTAGCCATGTCAGATACACACTATATGAGAATACGTTACTAATTTGGCTCCCTGAAAACACAAAACTAGATTACCCATGGCATTTTAATCCCATAAAAACAAAGCTATAAATCTGAAATGTTTCCGAGGAGCATAAAAATTTATATCAGGTTTTTAAGAGAGAGATAAAAATATGATCCTTATAATGATTTCCCCCTTACCCTAGGGCCTCCGAAGAATATCTGGTGATGAGCAATAGGGCCTAATCACTATACCCAGGTGGGCTGTAAAGCTTTCCCAACAACTATTTTCTGAACATTAAAGGCTTCCAGGGAGGCACTATGAAAATAAAGCTTTTTTGTAATGCACTATTTTACTAAGTGATATGATAGGAAATAGATCAGTGATTTCATCAGTACAAAGAACACCCAGATGAGGAAACTACCTCTACTAACTAACAGAGACCAACATCTTTTCCCTTATTTACAGATTTGCCTAAAACACTGAGATGTTAAGTGACCTGCCTAGGGTGACAAAGCAGGTATGGGTTGGAGATAGGATTTAGCCTCAAGGCCAAGATGTCTATCTACAATGCCACACTGCTTCTCTTGGTTACTAAATGAAAACTAAAGCAATGATTTGACCATCTATGTCTATTCCATCTAAATTTTAATTTCATCTTTTTTTTTTAAATTATGGAACATTTATTTTTACTATACTTGTCTGAAAATACTCCATATACTCTAAAGATTTCTTCACATATTCAGAGGTAGGGTGAACTCTTAATTATCCACATTCAGCTCATGCACAATTTGGTCAAATCTGGCTTTCAATTTCTTATGGATATTAGTAAGCTGCTGGGCCAAGTCCTTTGTCACTATTTTAAATTAAATATCTATTTTGTACCCAGAAACAGAGATGAGATGGTAGTTCTTTTCGATTAGACAATTACTTGCCCCACCTTAGGGAAGGAGTAACTGAGAAGTAAAGGCTGAATCTTATGAAAGGCTGATTCTCTTTAGGCTGGGAGTTAGGGGATGGGTATTTTCCTCAAAATGAGGGACAAGGTCAAACTCCAGTATACTCTGGAAAGCATGGATATGAGCAAAGAACAAGGATAAGAAAGCTAGCAAACTTTTTAACACTTCCTAGAGTGGATTTATTACATTATTTGAAGAACTGTGAATTCCCTGGTCAGACACACCTGTACTGAAATACCTAGAGTCCAAAGCCAACTACAGTGGAATCTTGATTAGCCAGCTCTGGTCCTTCTGGATCCCTGGTTCATAATAATTTTACTTATGGCTAAAAATATCTTTAGAAAACAAAAATAAAAACAAAACTTGTTTCTAAGGCTGGAACAGAAAGTCTGGTAACTTTGACTACGAAAAGATTCAACATAAAGCACATACGAATTATTATATATAATCATTAATGCTAAAATGATAATAAAAAGTTAGCATTTATATAATGCCTACTATATGTCAGATGCTGTCCTAAGCAATTTACAAGTATTCTCTCATAAGCCCCACAATCAACAGTGATGAAGGATGCTATTATTATACCTATTTTATAGTGGAGGAAACTGAGGCAAACCAGCTAAGTGACCTGCCCAAGGTCACACAACCAGTAAGTATCTGAGGCTGGATTTGAACTCAGGTCTTCCTGACTACCCCATTGGGACACTTGGTTGCCCCCCCTAATATTTACCACTTTAGAATTACCAATATTACGTAAGAGAAAAAGGCCATCAAAAACGGAGCAAATTAAAGCACCAACTAATTTAAATGTGGATTGAAAAGTTTATTTCAGTCGCCTACAAAATTAGCTTATCTCAAAGCTTATTTTAACTTTAAAGCCTTCTATGCGCCCCCCCACCCCACTTACCTGAGAAACTCATTAATTCCTTGCTCACTGAAAGACCCTTTCAAAAGAGCAAATTTCATCTTCCGTGTATTGACAGCTGCCATTGCAGGGTACCCAAAACCTCCAATTCCCAAAGCAGTTTCAAGTTCATGCTGAGCTCCAGCTTCTGTCCACAGCCATCTAGAAAAGAATATTTTTATAATTTCTTAGGGTACTCATTATACTATTAATTGGCCTCACATTAAGAATAAAAGATTGGTCATTTCTCCACCCCCAAAATATCAGTTCCACACATAAAAGAGGAGATAAAATATGAAATATACAAAGATAAGTAAATACAGGATATATTAAAAATAAATACAAAATTGAGGGAATCAGAAAAGGTCTCTTGAAGGAAGTAGAATCTGAACAGAGCTTTGAAGGGAACAAGAGATTTCAAGAGGCAGAGGAAAAAAGGGAGACCATTCTAGGCACATGGGCCTAATTGTGCAAACCCACAGAAGTGTGAGGCAGAATGTCATATATGGGGAACAGCAAGAAGGATAGTTTGTCTGGAGTGTAGTGTCTGCAGGGGAATAGTATATAATTTACACAAATAAAAGATATTCTAAAGCCAGACTCTACAGGGCTTTAAATGCCCAAGAGTGAAGTTTGTATTTTATCCAGCGATATGGTGCACATTAGGTACAGCAATTTGGCAGCTTTAGAGGATATTTTGGAAAGAGAAGAGACTGGACACAAGAAAAGTGGTTAGGAGGCTATTACAACAGTCTAGGCAAGAGGTGATTAAAACTTAATTCAAGATGGTTGTGGTGCAAGTTGAGAGAAGGGGACAGATGTGAGAGATGTTAAGATGGAGTCAACAAGACTTGGTAACTCACCAGATACAGGAGGTGAGAGAGAATGAAGAATCAAGAATGACACTAAGATTTTGAGCCTGGGTAGGTGGAAAAATGGTGGCCCACTTGACAGAAATGGGGACATCAGGGATGAATAAAATGACTGCATGCAACAATGAGTGCCCAGTTGAGAATAGAAAACCAATTTGTGGTTGACCCAATCAACATGACTGTGTGCCTTTCTTCAGCAGCAGTGTTCAAACAGGAGTGGAGAAAACAGATGATAAGAGTAATCCAAGGCAGAGTTTGAAAAGGGATAAATAAATGGCAGACAGGCAATGGGGCTAGGAGCTGAAGACAGTATAAGAAGTTGAACTGGGTCAAGATCTTAAAGGGAAGAAAATGAGTGCAATGAAGGAGGCAGGGAAATGGAGACTGTAGGGAAGAAGGTGAATAGGTTTGGTGGGGAGGGGAAGGCATAGGAATAAATGGAAGGACAGGTTATGACAAATCACATTCTCTAAAATTCTGCTAATTAGAGATTTCCCATAACAAAGAGGTGTTTTCAATGGGTAGCAAATGTCCTTTTGATGGGACAGTACTTCTTCCAACTACCCTAATAGTGACATTCCCATTTTTTTGCTTGAAGGCTAGTATTTATCACATCATATCAAAGAATATGTGCCCCTGCAGTGTAAGGAGACTAGAAAGGTAGGAAAGGATTAAGTTATAAAGGTATTTAAATACCAAACCCATAACTTTATATGAAAGATGTTATAAAGGTAGAAATGAGAGGAATTAGCAAATGATTGACTATGGGAGCGAGTTAAGAATGCCTGGGAAGATGGTGGTGCCCTTAAAAATAATAGGAAAACTAACAAGAGGGGAAGGTGTGGGTGGGAAAGATAATGAGTTTAGTTTCTGACATGTTCAGTTAAAGACGTCTATAAAACATCCAATTTGAGATGTCTGTTAGGCAGCTGGAGATAAGAGACCATAGGTTAGGAGAGGGGTTAGGGCTAGAAAAATTGATCTGAAAATCACCAGCACAGAAATGATAACTGAATTCATGGGAACTGATGAGATCACCAAGTGAAACAGTATATAGAGGGAGAAGAGAAGATCCAGATAGAGCTTCGAGGCTGTGACTTGGATGAAGAGACAGCAAAGAAGACTGAAAAGGAGCAATCAGAAAGGTTATGAGAACCAGGTCCTAGAAGCACCACGAAAACTTGTGAAGAATGGGAAAAAGCCCTTAGATCTGGCAATTATGAGATCATTGGTAACTCTGGAGAGAACAATTTTCAATTGAATGTCAAGGCTGGCAGTGACTACAGAGAGTGAGAAGAAAGAAATAGAATCACTGATTATAGACAGCTTCCCCAAGAACAGCCATGAAAGGGAAGAGATATAGGATTGTATCTACACATGAATGATAATACTACTTATTACTTTACCTCATAGGGTAATGGGTATAAGGAATATACTTTGTAAAATTTAGAGTATTATGTAAACACAAGCTACTACTGTACAAAGAAAAATGGATGCTTACAGGATTACCAAAATCCTTTATATATCTCTTCAATGCTGACAAGAAATAAGTGGTGTCAGTATTCCTAAACTCATTTTACTGAGTTAAAAACTGAAAGTTAAAATAGCTAACTGATTTGTTGCTGGTAACATGCCTGCTACATGTCAGAACAAGGACCCAACCTTCAGCTTTCAAACTCAAAACTTTCCTCCCTAAACAATCCTGCCTTTTTTTGGAAATCATAAATAATATCCACAGAACAGGATTATCGTTTATAAAGCTTGTCTAGTCTTCTCACAAAGATCTACAGAAGGCAGATTCTATTATTTTCTTTAGAAGGCTTTCACTCACTCAAGAGATTCTTCCTTAAGCCCAATCAACCTCCCTCTTAACTTAAACTCTTTTATTTAATGGGTAAATTGTTTTCTACCTTTACTGATAACCACCACCACCACCATCTCCTTGGAGTTAGAGATTGAGGAGAATCACATAGCTTTATGTTTTGTGTTAATCTGTTCATAATTTAAAACCTGGGTCCACTGGACACCTTCACATTTTCCATTTAATAATCATCCTACATGTTCTGCATAATCCTAAGATCATTTAATGGGAGCATACTTTTTTTATCTTTTTGCTCATTTATTCTGTTGCCTGCAAGTTTGCTGAAGCTATTAATCGTCTAGTGGTAGGGAGAGTGGACATCCTTGTTTCACTCTTATATTTACTGGAAAAGATTCTAGTATCTCACTAGAGTATGCACTTTCTAAAGACAGATTTAAAACACTATAAGAAACAATAAGATCTTAACTATTCCGGATACCTAATGGGAAGACAATGTCTATACCTTTTGAAATGTGAAAACCGTTAAGATAAAATGATCAATAACTTACCCCCACAATTTCTTTTTGTATTTTTCTGCCAACTTTAGTAGAACTTTAAGTAAGAATTTCTTCCTGATGCTCCTGTTTTAGACAGACAAAATCTGAGTTAGAGAGAAAGCAATTTTTCTCCCTCCACTTAAAAGCTATTTCCAGGATATGTTAGTATCAGAAGAAAAACTGATGAAGGATGAATTTCTGTTTCTCTTACCAGTATCAAGGATATGAGGCAATACAGCAACTACACAGAGCTGGTGGTCTTCACAGGTTTTCTTTGCCACTGCTTCATCAACAATCTGTGAATAATAATATGGAAACTGGCAGTTAATATTTAGGAAGGTCCAAGATGAACAGCCAAGAAAATAAAAAGGAAAAACCCAGTATTTTGAATTTCATAAATTACTCAAAAGGGCAACCCATCATTTGTTATATGTTAAGTTCTTTCACCACTTTAAGAACTTATCTAATAATGATGCTCACACAAAACCTAATAAAATGTTATACTTACGATCTTTTGGTACATTCTTGTTCTTATCAATTATTGCAGTGTAGAAAAGTGAAATGAAGCATTCAAAAAAGACTATGCACCTAAGAGCAGCTGTTTGTCAAAAAGGCTAACAGCCAGTTAAAAATTAAAAGGGAAACAATCTAAGTGCACTTAAATCAATTTCATATTCTCCACATTCCAGTTTTAGAAAGTAATTTTCTCAAACTTCAACATTAAAAGTACTTTGTATGGCAACTTTCTTCAACATTTCAATTTACCAAGCAAACATATGAGTGCCTACCATGTGCTAGGCACTATACTAAGAAGAAAACAAAATAGTCCTTGCCCTTAAAGAGATGTTCTATTCAAGAACAACATGGACACAGAGAAACAGAAAACAGAGAATCCTTCTTTTTTCAAATGAGGCAAATAAGTGACTTGCCCAGGGTCACACAGCTACTCAGTATTATGTGTCTGAAGCTGAATTTGAACTCAGGTCCTCCTGACTCCAAGGCTGGAGCTCTATCCACTGCACCACCTAGCTGCCCCCAATGAAGAAGTAATTTGAAAGGGTGTGAGGGAGCACTAACAACTGGAGCGAATAAATTTTAAAAAAAAGGTTCATGTAGGACAGGCCTGTACAACCCACGGCCCATAGGCCACTTACAGCTTGTGGCATACCAAAGGACTTTGGGTGGTCCACAAAAAATGTGGAGGAAAACATCCTCTGTATGTGGAAGAAATCCTTTGGCGTGCCGCAAGGGGCTTGTGCAGGCCTGATGGAGGAGGTGGTACTTCAGCTATGAAGGAAACTAAGGATTCCATGAGACAGAAATGGGAAGTAAAGTATTTTAGGTATAGAAGACAATCTGTACAAACCCACGGAGGTAGAGTGGAAAATGTCACAGATAGCAAGTAGGCTAGTTTGGTCAGAATACATAATATGTCTGAAGAGGGGTAACATAGAACCAGTTTGGAAAAACAGGAGCCAATGAAGCTTTTTGAACAGGAGAATGGCATAATCAGAACTATGCTTGAGAAATAACAACTTGGCAGCTGTGTAGAACACAGATTACAGAAGGGATACTGAAGACATGGAGATCAATCAGGAGGCTACTCCAACAGTTCAGAAAACAGGTGATGTGTACCTGAACTTGGGTAGTAGATTTGTGAGTTGAGGGGAAGGGATGGATATGAGAGATGTTATGTACATAGGACCGACAGGATTTGCCAAATAACTGAATATAGGGGAAGGAAAGTGCCAAGCTGAGAGTAAGATTGTAAACTTGCACAATGAGAGAAAATAGTGATGTCCTCAATGGAAACAGAAGTTAGTATAAATATCCTGTATTAATAAACAGGTAGAATTTTTTAAAAAGGATATACCTCAAGGAGCTCAGGTGGTGGGGCATTATCAGAAAATAAATCTAGGGCTCTGGAAACTATGTCAGATCTTGTCCTCCCACCACTGTAATCCATAGGTGGTTCTCCTTTCTGGAAAATCTTGATTGTCGGAAATCCTCCAATCTATAATGAAATACAGAATATTAATTCTTTAACCAGAGTAAGATAAAAGTAATTGCTTTTCACCATTTCTAAAACTGCTTTTGTAACTTACTAAAAGAAAAAAGGAACCAGTTTTTTACCTTCATTTTGTATGCATATCAAAGAATCCACAAAGTAGCAATATATTAGAAGTCTCATACTGCTATGATTCAGTCTAAATTGTTCTTTTCTTGAGTATGACTTCCTTTAGGCTCAATTAAGCCTTTTTTTTCCTTTGGAATTTTCAATAATAATTGAGTATAATAATAATTTAAATAATCAAATAAATTGATTAAATTATAGTCCTAAAAACTCAGCTACTGATTCATGTGTTTGAAAGCATCTACATGCACAGGCTGGGGAAACGGGAGTGTGGGACAAAGCAAGTCTACAAAATACACATTCATTTCTTTTCTTTCTCTTCTTTCTTTTTTTTTTTTGGCTAGGCAAAGTGACTCACCCAGGGTCACACAGCTAGTAAGTGTTATGTGTCTGAGGCCAGATTTGAACTCAGGTCCTCCTGAATCCAGGGCCAGTGCTCTATCCAATGCGCCACCTAGCTGCCCCACCTAAGTGATTAAGAGTAGCAATATGAGTGGGGCACCACAACACTGCCATTCAATTAAAAGGCTTCTGAATTGGCTGGTAGTGCTGCTGAGCATTAGGTGGCATGAAGATCAAAAAAAGGGACTGTGTGTGAGTTTAGGTCTAGAGACAATCATGAGTCAAATCAGGTCTTGAGCCACCATTAAGGATTATATTAGAAACCTTAGCTGACATACTATCTGACATGGCTAATTAACCTATTTTTAACTGCTGAATTTTCAGTTTCTAATTCCTCATTAATTTCCAACTCCTTGTGGGTCAGAAGGCATCTCAGACTAACCTTAAATCTTCTTCTGAGAAGGCTAATCAACACAGAGCCCTAAGCATGCTGCCCATAGTGTTTACTTTGATAAAGTCTCATGAAATTCTTATGGAAATGACAGAAGAGATTTGGCTAAATGATATAAAAAATTATAGAGATCTGGAACTGGTGAATGACTACAGTAGTGGTAATTATTCAATATTAAATTGGATGGAAGTCATCATCAGTGGAGCGCCCCAGAGATCTGTGCTCAGTTGGCCCTGTGCTGTATAAACTTTTATTAGTTAGCTAAAAGGAAGGAAACAAAATACTTATTACATGCCAGGCACTATGTTAAGAATTTTCCAGATATTTTCTCATTTGATCCTCACAACCCAGTGAGGTAGGTGTTGTTGTTATCCTCATTTTACAGTTTAGGAAACCGAGGCAGGCAGCGGTTAAATTATTTGCCTAGAGTCACACAGCTAATAAGTCTGATGCCGGATTTGAACTAAGCTCTTCCAGCACTATGTACTGTGTCACCTTGATGAAAGTGGAAAAGGCATGGTTAGACAGCAATTTGTCAGAAAGACTTGCAGTTTGTTGGACTGCAAGCTTAATGAGTCAATAGTATGCTGCATTGGCCAAATAAAACTAAAGAGGCATGGCTTCCAGGAAGATGACTAAAGTCTTCATCAGACTGCCCTGGTCAAATCACAAACAGTGCCGTGTTCAATTCCGGGCAACATAAAAAGGACATTAATAAGTTATGTAACATACAAGAAGGAAGCCAGGATGGTGAAGAGCTTCAAATTCATCATACATGAAGACTAGAAGAACTTGGTGTACAGCCTAATGGGGAGACCTATATCTATCTTTAAGTATCTTATGGGCTGTCTGTTGGAGGCGAGATGAGATTTCTTCTGCTTGGCCTAACAGACAGAACTAGGAACAATGGGGATAAGTTTCAAAGGGTAAATTTAGGTTAATATGCAGAAAAATTAGAGATATCCCAAAATCAAATGGGCTTCTTCATATCGCTGTAAGATACTCCTCACTATAGGTTTTCAAGCAATGGCTAAATGACTAGTTGAGGAAACTGCAGAAGAGATTCCTATTCAGTAATTCTGTGTGTGTGGAGACAGGATAGAAGGAAGCTGAGGAGGCCCTGAACTTCCAAGTGCCGTGGACTAAAGGCAGGTTCTGTTAGACTGGTGTAAAAGCACTGTAAATGATAGGTGACAGTACTGGAAAAAAAATCTGCCAGTCTGGATGAGGGGAATATTTATGGAAGCAAATATTCCAATATATCAATGACTTTGGGATTTTATCAACACGAATATCCCTTTCAACAATACAGATTAACCCATCCATTCAACTCTTGTTCACATCTTCCCACAAATTAGACATGGGGCCTCCACCCAACTTGCTGGAAGATCTTCCTAAATGTAGTGATGTAAAAACAAAAGTTTTCAGTGATGATTTACTTAAAAACAAACAAAAGGTCACCTTTGTAGATATTTTTTCTGTCTTTCATTTGCAAATATGATACATAAAAAGTTGAAGGGAAGCACTGTCAAAGTACTATACTTGAGTTAGAAGACTTGGATTTCAAGTCTCAGCTCTTATTAGCAGGGAGCATCATATCATGTCATCTTTAGGTTTCAGTTTCTTCACCCTTAAAATGAAGGATTTGGACTTTTTTTTTTTTAAAGGCAATTGGGGTTAAGTGACTTGCCCAGGGTCACATAGCTAGTAAGTGTCAAATGTCTGGTCCAAGGCCAGATTTGAACTCAGCTCCTCCTGACTCCAGCACCACCTAGCTGCCCCAGGACTACATGGTTTTAAAGGTCCTTGATATTTAATGATTCTGTAATCAGCCTTAAATTGAAAACATACTTACCCCATATCGGCTAGTCAATGCCTGATTTACTGTAGCATCTACAGCAGCTAGCTTCACCTTTCCTTTTGTCTGTTCCTTTACTTCTGTGGCTGCAGCTGCCCATTCTGGTTCTAAGCTATTGGAAGAATAAAGTATCTTTAGATTACACCTCATTCTAAATGATTAGCAGTAATATTTGTTTTTATACTCTCTTTTTATAAAATTCAGATAGGGCAGATCTTGAACCTTTTAAGTTATGCTCTCCCCCAGACAAAACCCTATTTTCTAAATCCCCTGAAAGAAAACATGAGACATACAAAATAAAAATGCATTAAGTATATTCTTTTTCCTCCAAGTTCCATATTCCATAAATATGTGCCATGCTACTCCCTATATACCTCAGATCCATTTTACTGGCTAATGTTTGAAAGTTTGATGATACACTGAGTTCTCTATCACTATAGTTCTAAACTTAATCGTGTAAGAAATTTTAGACCTAAGCTAGGTGGGTAGATTAAAATAAACATGAAACAAAAAGAGGGTAAAAACCAGCTGTCCAACTTACTTTTTGCAGTGTCCACACCAAGGAGCATAAAACTCCACCAACCAAACATCATCACTGTCAAGCACATTTTTATCAAAAGTGTCATCTGTCAGTTCAATCACATCCTTCTTGCCTGAACCTTCACTTCGACTCTGTAATTAAAATATATCCAAATTTTAGTTATAACTAGGGAGTAAGATTTAGGGCAATGAATATAATTCCATATCTAAACTTAAGAAATGTTCACATACTCCTGAAAGCTTTGGTTTAATTTCTGTAATTCCAGTGCAAAATGAGTAAAAAACAAAAGGTTTCCCAGTGTATTAAATACTTAATGGAATATGATTTTTAGATAACTACACATATACTCTCTATCTTAGAAATGTATACACATAATACACTTCCATACATACTAGGAGCTGAAGCTTCAAAACTCTCAAACTCAGTTAGAACAAAGACAATTTAAAAATTAAATGGCTACCCATCTTTGGTTAGATGAACTGTGACGCATGAATGTAGCAGAATATAATTTCACTCTAAGAAGTGAAGAATGAGGAATTTAAAGAAACACAGAAGACCTGGATAAAGTGATCCGAAATGAAATGAGGAGATGAGGAAATGCACCCCTAACTTCTGATGGATGAAGACTATGGGTGTGGAATATTGACTATGCTATTAGATATGGCTGACGTGTAGTATTGCTAAGTTTGTAAAGAGCAGTATTAACAAGAATCAGAAACGTATTCATGCAATACAGTGTCAATACAAGTAGTGGGTTTTTTTTTTTTGGAATATGAGAAAACTAACAAGGAAGGAGGAGTTGGTTTAGTGAGGGAGGAGATGAAGAACTATCTGGAAGTGACTAATGTAAAAACAAAATAGCACCAATACAACTATTTTTAAAGTTACCAAAAATAACAAGAAAGCCTTACAGAACTATATCCACTACTTCTTCCACCAAGGCGTTCCTTTACCAGTTGTCGTAAAGAATTAAGAGCAGCATCTACAATAGCTTCACCAGTTCTACCACCTAAAAGGAAAACAAATGTAAAATGGTAAAAATGGTCATGGATCACATAAAAACAAGCAGGTATTCTTCTGACAACTCGAAAATTGACTACTTGCAGTGTCATTAAATTGCTTTCTAATATAAAAAGTACAGACAGTCCCTATTTTAAAATCATTCTTATTCAGTGTTGTAATGACCCACTGCCTAATTTTTTTTTTGCAGTCTTTGTCCGCAGTTTTAACAGTGATGATAGCAAAAGCATGTGCAATCAGGATTTCCCTTATGTCAATTACTTTAAGATGTAGTCAATCAAAATAAAATCTAAAAGTGACAAATACTTATGTTCTAAAGATATAGTCATTACTGCTATTAGAAAAAAGGAATTAAAAATCTCTAGCACTTCTAGAGATTGTTATCTTAGTATCTTTTCTGAAAAGAGAACAGGTAACTTAACCTAGAAAAAAGAGTTAGAAAATTACACAACAATGTCAGTGCTATCAATACAATGATAAATAGATCCCTAACGAGCCTACTCATCATATTTCATATAAAACAATCTTTCATAGGTGTTAATAATTTTGTCTATAATTGGAGACAATTATGAAGGGCATTGCCATAACAGAAGTCTTGCTGGCTTCCCTAAGATCCATTCCAGCTTTAAATTCGATGATCCTTAAAATGGAGACTAAACTCAGGTATGAGTCCCAGTCTGCTAGGCTATACACCTGAATATCAGGAAGAAACTGACCAAACTGTTATAGAAGCAATATGTTTTAAGGGAAGAACATCATCAGTAATGGAAAATTACAGTCTCGTAATAAAATTTTGAAATTCTGAAGGCTATCATGTCATTTGTAGTACTTATGGATGGGAGAAAGAATCAAACCTGAGGTTAATTTCAATCAGTTTTTGAAATAACTACAGAAAGAGGAACGAACACAAGTTTTTCAGTTGTCAAATACAGGAACTCCTACAGAATATAGGGTCCAGTAAACTTTTTATAGAATCACAAATTTATAGTTGGGACCTTGCATCATTTAGTCCAAGACCCTCATTCTATAGATGAGGAAACTGAAGCCCAAAATAGTTAAAGAACTTGCCCAAGGTCACATATGCAGGTAAGTTGCAAAGCCTGGATCTGAACCCAGGTTCTTGGATTCTAAAAACAGAAATTGGTCTACTATGCTGCTGCTTTTTTGCGATAATTCAACACGCTATGGGTATTAGTGTCATAGGATATCCTTTTATAAAAAGTACTAGATACAGTTCACAAAATTAATCTCTTTCTCCAAATTCTACAGCAAAGTAAAAATAATACTTGCGAAAACTATCTCATAGCAACTGTTTCAAGAAGAAAATGGTTACACAAAAGTCTAGCAAGATTCAATGGAATAGAGTACTGAGGTCCTTATAAAGTTTAATAAAAATGACTTTGTCTTAATGGATTGTAAAATAAACCAATTTCATTTAAGGACTGCAGTCCATTTAAAGACTTATCTTAAAACAGTAAGAATGATGATAATAATTGTGAGGATGACTTTTAGCTATAACTACTGAATTCCCTGGGATTTTAAACTTAGTTTCTTTTCTGAAAACAAATGCTTTGTTCAACAATAATACCAATTAGTTTTGCCTTTATATTTTATCTGATTTTATATTTTCTGAAGTAGAAAAACTAGAAGATGCTAAATTCTTAAAGGCTCAGTAGTTTGCAGGTCCTATTTCTAACAAGACAAAACAAATTAATATTCCTATCTACTGTACAAATTTTATTTTTGTAAAAAGTGCTAAGAAAAATATTGTTCTTTCCCCTATTTTCTTCCTATCCTTTCAAAAGAAAAAGTCACAAGGGAGAAGAAAGGAGTCATTTCAATAATATATGGTTAAAGAACAAGGCAGTTTCAAAATTTTATTACATTTTTTCATCAATCAAGCAATAATTTGTCCCTCTTCCAATTTTCCCCACCTCTTGACCCTCACCTCAGTGGAGATTTAAAGAAAGAAATCTGAAAACAAAACCCTTTTGACAAATATTTACAATAAAGCAGAATAAATTTCCATAATGGTTATGTCCAAAAACAGACAAGATGAAGTGCCATCTCTTGCAAAAAGGTCCATATCCACTTGGAAATGACTAGTCCTCTTCCCACCCCAATTACTCTGTACATGTTTTATATTTATTCATCTGTTTCTACTCAACAGAATATAAGCTCTTAAAAGGCAAGAAATGTTTCAATTCTTCACTGTATTCCTGGCAGAAAGTAAGCACTTAATGTACATACATATATTTTAGACCTGCCTCTGAGGGTGTTTAGACTGTAAGCTCTCTAAGCCTTTGAAATGACATGTGCTTTTAACCATATGCTATTCCTTCTGTTCCCAGTAGGAGGAGGAACAAAGTTGTAATATAGAGAGGCATCAGTAGAGGGACATGTTGTGCCATCTTACATGCTGAGAATGACACAAGCAGCAAGTTAAGTGGGAAGCACCTGACAATCTAATGCCACAAATTTTCCAATGATAATGTAATGATTATTTAAAATGTGGTTCAAATTGAAACAAAGAAATACCACTATACAGCAAAGCCAGAAGAAAGGGAGATACAGGAAAATAAATTCTTACCCTGGTAATCTTCCGGTCTATTTTTGTTGGATCCAAAGATCTTAATAGTAGGAAATCCTTGGACTCCATATTGTCCACCTAGGGACTGATGTTTATCTGCATCAACTGCACCAACTCTCACTATATCCTGTTGAAATTCAAATAAACGTTATTTTGTACTCACACTACACAAAGACCTGCTTTTTTCTGGGTTTCTTAGGCCAGAGTCAATAGCATGGTTTCATTACTTCCTCCAAAATTAAATATTTTTCATATAAATATCAGAACTACTTAAATAAAAAAGTTTAAAAACAAGTTGCATGATCAGAGTTTTAAGTTAAATATAATGACATTAAAAACTGCCCCATTAATTTTTTTGCCTGGTCAAATTTCTCAGACTTGCAAATGCTATGTACTTGATTACCTGCATCAGTTTACTTTAAATCACTGATAACACTCCCTATCCATTTGAAGATCTGGTCCATCAGGACCATTCTGGGGGTAAAACAGAATTAAAAATAGTAGAAAAGTCCATGAGTGAGGAGAGTGAGAAATAGGAGAATTGGATCAAAAAGGAATCTTTGTGCTGGAGTAAATGAGGAAAGGAGCCAAAAATGGATTAGTAGATATAACAGAAGTGAGCTGTGGGAACCATAAGCAGGTCCACAGAGGTAAATCTGGATATTATTTTAATTTTTCCAATTTTCCCCTGGTACAACTAAGTGACATAGCTATAGGAGATTCTACAGTTCATATAATTCAATTCAGTTAAATAAACTTAAGACTCATTATATGCAAAGTACAATGCTACACATGCTTGGATTAAAACATGATAGTACCTGTCCTCAAAAAGTTACAATCTATCAGTGGTTAAGATGAACAAAAATATCAATGACAGTTCTTTAAGGTTTACAAAGAACTTTCCTCACATAAACCCTGAAGGTATTGCAATCATTACATTAATCCCTGTTTTAGAAATAAGGAAACTAGAGCTCAGAAAAAGTGGTTTGCCCAAAGTCACACAGCTAGGAAGTATCATAACCAGGATACTAACTAGGTCATCTGACTGTAAATGTGTCCCCCCACCACAACATCACAAGAGTAGAACGAATGAATGAATGAATGTATGTATGTATGTATGTATGTATGTGTATGTATTATGTATGTATGTATGTATATATGTAATGATGTGAGAGGTCATGGACTAGCAAGTGAGGCATTCAAGGAGGGAAGGACCAAGGAAAACTTAATTTCATGCAATTAGGTGGCACCTGCACCTTTCCTCAGGGAAAAAAATGTTTAACAAGTATAGGGAGGTATAGGGGATAAAAACTTCAGGAACTGGGGACATGGAAGAAAACAAAAACTCAGGGAAAAGCTAGCATTTCAGGGTAACTGGAAGATAAGAGAACATAACATGAAGAGGAGTGGTATGAAATAAAGCCGAAAAGGTGGCTGATGCTACATTATGACAACCTTAGATACTACATGAAGGACATTCTTTTTCATCCTGCAGACAATGGGGAAGCATGAAAAGTAGTTATTCAATTTGTTCATTAGGAAGATAACTTTAATAGCAGTGTAAAGGATGAACTGGATTACTAGAATATTAATTTACATTCATCACATATTTAATTAAAATAGAAAAAGAGACTAGAGAGAATGGTTAGGGAAACTACTGCAAAAGTCCAAGTAACAGGTATTAGGCAAGAAAGAAAAAGAGAGTAAGGATGCAAGATTTTGAGGCAGAATTAATACCAAGTGGATTATAAGGTGAGAGGAAATGAATGATAAATCAACAATAATCAAAAGCAGAATGGAAAACAAAATATAATTCATAAGGATTCCACATGGACTTGACATTTCAATATATTCAAACTGTACTATGAAAACCAAATTCATAGCTACTGCAAAATTTCCTGTCAGGTTAAACTCATATAATCTGCTTATTTTTGAGTGCAAAAGCACAGAAAACATATTAGGCATCTTTGAGAATAGCTGAAACTTACTTTTAATGCAGTTGCTGCTTTCTTCCATTCTGGTGCTAACCTTTGGCAGTGACCACACCTTTATGGGGGTAGGGGGAAGGGGAGAGAAGATAGGGTAGAAGGTTAGGAAAACCGCAAGCCAATGACTAGATTACTTAAATCTCTTGACTTTTAGGAATTTTTGGTTAACACTTCAATAAGAAAAATGCTAAATTCTGTCTAAATGGTTTGAATAAGCATCAAAGAACTAGAAATCTGAACAGCAGAGCTGAAAATCCATATATTTCAGGGTGATATCTTACAACTAGTAGGTTTTTGGGGGGTGAGAAGAGTGGGTGAGGATTAAACTTTTAAAAATTAATTTATATTAGTCAAACAATATTTAAAACAGAAAAATTATATGGGATGTTCACCTGTAACATAAGTAATAATTTCAGAAGTTACAAATTTAAAAACAAAACCTCAGCCCTGAAACATGGTATAATGTATTCTGAATCACTTGTGTTCTTCAATCCTAATCATTTAGTTATTTGCAATCATTGACCCAGACATATAAAGTTATACTTTATTGATGGGCACTGCGCACAACACTAATCTAAAATCCTAAATATCTAAAGATATATCTTGGGATGAGGCTTTTATATATTTACAAATAATATACTATTGCTATATAAACAGTCACATTAAGGGTCAGATTTTAACAAAATTGTATGTGATTTATATAAACACCTTTGTCTAAACAGGATCATAATGTCTCTACCTCTGTTAGATTCTATCAGCTGTTGCACATCAAGATGTTATAATGTACAGTGTAGGTAAATAGCAAAACCTCTAGTTTGATATTGTTACTCAAATCTCTATTAACATATGCTTTGTCAGTAAAATGGTAGATTATTTTAGCAACAGTATTATAAAGGCGGCTTGGCAGAGTGGCTAGTCTTAGACTCACTCTTTAAGACCTCTGTTCAAATCCCACCTCCAGAACCTAACACTTAAAAGCTATGTGATTCTGGGCAAATCACTTAACTTCTATTTGCCTCCAGCACTAAGACTTTTGTATAGTCATAAATGACTCTATGGAGGAAATGCTTACACAAATAGTTTCTTTAAAGGTGAAATCATACAGCTCCCCTATATTTGTATAAAAACAATAATATTCCTTATGCAGCACTGGATACTCAAGTTCCTTTCTCAAATACTATATTTATATTACTACAGTCAATGTTGAATAAAATACACATTCTTTAAAAGGGCAATCTATGTATATTATATGTAACTATTAACCATGTTGTTTTACTTCATTAAATAGTCACTTTGCATGAGTATTTCAACTGATATCTAATTTCCATCCTTCCAAATTTTTAATTATGCAAGTTCATTAAAAAGCAATTTTAATGTTTCCACTGATAAATATTAAAAATGTGAGATTTTTATTTTTAAATTCACATTTTAAATTTTCTTTTATAATACAAACATTCCAAAAGACTCCTTTACAAAGTACACTCCACTCTTCAAAAAGTTAGATTATCAACTATGGTGTTACACTAAATGGACATATGTGACCAGAGTTCATTAGCACAGCTCCCCCCCCCCCAATCTAGACCAAAGATTTCATAAATACAGAACACTTCTTGGTAAGGAAACGCCTACGACTGGAGATCTGCAGCTGTCTCCAATTTAGAGAATTATCTGGGGACACTGAGAAGCTAAGTGATTTGCCTACGGACAAATAATATATATACTAGAAATGGAGTTTTAATACAAGTCTTCCTAACTCTGAGGCTAGTTCTCTATCCACTACACCACTGAGGACAAGGTTTTAATTAAATGTTTTCTACTTCCCTTGGAGAAGTTCTTTGTTTTGGTAAATTATCAATTTTTATCTAAAATAAAAACCTTAACTTCCAGCTACTTTTTATATTTATTCATTTTATTTTTAGGCAGTTGAGGTTAAGTGACTTGCCCAGGGTCACACAGCTAATAAGTGTCAAGTGTTTGGTCCAAGGCCAAATTTGAACTCAGGTCCTCCCAGTCCACCAGGGCTGGTGCTCTATCCACTGCACCACCTAGCTGCCCCATCTTCCAGCTACTTTTAACTTACTCCAATCACATATTAAAATGAGTAAGACAAGCAACTAGAAAGTACATTTTAGTAAACAATTTGCTTAAAGAAATTGAAAAAACAATTCTTGATTCTATTTTGTCTATAAACATTTGCACATAATGAATTCAGTTACCATTATTAATTTTTATGCAAGACAGTTCAAGTTCTGTGTATATCATCACAATATCACAGTATTTCCCAGTTTTTTAAAAAATTTCTTCTATAATAAACACTCATTTTACTACTTTTTCTCTGTGTTCTCCAATATCTTTAAACCATTTAAGAATTTCATCAGTTCCCCCAATTATCTTCCACTAGCCTCTCCTTAGGTAAGAAACCAAATAATCCAACACCAATCTTCTCAAGTTTATATCTGAGTATATATCAATACTTTGATATCATAGGGCTTACAACTATACTTACCAGGGAGCGTAGAACTCTATAAGCCACAAACTGTTACTCTGAATAACTTCACGGTTGAAATTGGAAGGAGTCAGTTCTATCACATCATCACTAGAGGAATATAAGCCACTCACACCCAGAAATAAGGCACAGCTTATCAGTCCTAGAACAAAAACACAACCATACCATCAAAAGGGTGATGATGGATTAGTCTTCTATTTCTCATTCCTCCCCACTACCCACCCCGTATTGGCTCCATACAGTTAGAAGACCCCTGCCTGTTTACTTCTAGAATAACCCTGCAAGGAGTTTTCATGAATAAACACTACAAATGGCAAATTTTACAGCTATGCTGAGGGCTAAATGGGTTCCTGATAGCTATCTTGGGGACCTAACACCACACCACCATTTATAAAAATCTCTATAGCAAAAGACTCGAGTGCTAAACAACTGGCTTCAAAGCCCTTTTAGATCATACATATTCAGAAGCTAAGGTCACCCTATACACCATTTTCTTTTTCGCAAATTGTTGGATGATTTATAGTTTGTGTTCATATATCATCTCATTTGATCCTTATATCATCATAAAATAAGCAAGATGAGAAAATCAAGGCCAAGAAAGGTTGTGACACTCGGCTGGAAGGTGGAAAAGCCATGTTAAAAACCCAGGTCTTTCGGCTCCTGCCTGATTCTGTGCTTTCTATTACATCTGCCTTTAGTGTGAAAAAAGTGAATGGTACAAATGGAAAGGGTATTTACATGGAAAGAGAAAAAACACAATAAAGATAATAGTAATAACAATAGCTAGCATTATATAGGGCTTTAAGATCTGCAAAACACTTTACAAATTATCTCATTTTATTCTCACAATAATTCTGGGAGGTAGTCAAGTAGTTGCTATTATTATCCCCATTTTACAGATGAGCAAAGTCAGATAGACAGAGGTTAAATGAACTGCCCAGACTCACACAGATAATAAAGTGTCTGAGGCCAAGTTTGAATTTGGTCTTCCTGACTACAACACTATCTACACCTCGCTATCTACCTAGCTCCTTTCATTCCTCTAATCAGGTTCATTCCTTACACTTAAGAGTGCCCTCCTTCCATCTCTCTCAACAAAACTATTACGGTACAATGCTAGGCATTAGTGGTATAAAGAAGTAAAGTATCTCTGTCTTCTAGGTCCTTACACCTAGAAGTAGAATACAAAAAAAAAAGACTAAAAAAACACTGAACAACTTGCAGGAGGGAGTAGGAAAGAAATCAAGGTATACTTCAACCTAGGAAGTAGCAGCTGAGTTGAGACTTGAAGAATTCTGAACACAGACGAGGTAGCAATGTGTTCCGGGAATTGCAATGGACTGAGAATGAACAGACGTGAGAAACTGAGTAATAGCTAATTTGCCAGTATGACTGGAACACAAAGCAAGTGAAGGGTAGTAGTACAAAATAAGTCTGGAAAGGAGCATGGGCCAGATAGTAGAGTCTTAAACACGTACAGTGAGACATTTCAACTTGATCCTGTAGGCAATGAGGGTGGATGACATGGGTGATTTTGAGCAGGGGAAGTGACACATATTAGAAATATTGTTGGGGCAGCTAGGTGGCGCAGTGAATAGAGCACCAGCCCTGGAGTCAGGAGGACCTGAGTTCAAATCTAGCCTCAGAAACATAATACTCACTAGCTGTGTGACCCTGGGCGAGTCACTTAACCCCAACTGCCTCACCAAAAAAAAAATACACACACATATACTGTTGGCTGTGCAGAAGTCAGACTACAGAGGAAAGACTAGAAGCAGGGAGACAAATAGGAGATTACAGTGATAGAGGCCAATGATGAAAATTGGAACTTTGGGAGTCAAGAGAAGGGAAACTGATGCAGATGAGAGATAAGTCATGGAGATGGAATCAAAAAGACTGGCAATGGATAATCAAAAAGACTGGATGTGAGGAAGAAAGAATAGTTGAGGTTAGTTCTGAGGTTATAAGTATAGGTGACCAAAAGAATGAGGGAAAAGCTTGGAAGAAGGGTGAGTTTAGGTAGGAGGAAGATGAGCTCTGCTTCTGACACCTTGAGGCAGAGAAGCCTACTGGACATCCTGGAAGATATATTTAATAAGTTAGGTGAAGTTCTGTGGCCTGAATCCAACACAAGGATTAGCAATAGGTATGTATATTTGAGAGTTACACACACAGGAATTATCTGAGAGAAGACAGTGACCTAGGAAACACTTATCTTAAGACAGCAAGATGATGATCCAACAATGCATATAGCCAGACAGGAAGAATACCAAAGAAAAGCATCCAAAAAGGGTTAGCCAACAGTATATAAAAGCTCCAGAGAGGTCAGAGTGGATAAGGATTAACAGGCCATCAGATTAAGTAAATACAAGATCATTTCAGCAGAGTGGTGGGACCAGAAGTCAGACCAGTAGGAGTTGAAGACTAGGTAATAAGAAAGTGGAGATAATAGAGATCTAATAATTCTATGACTTTAGTAGTGAATAGGAAATATGTAAGATAACTTCAGGGGATAGTGTGTCAACTAAAGGTTTTTAAAGAATGAAGTAAATTTCACTATGTACACAGGTAGCAGAAAAGAGGTGGTAGATTAAAGATGAGAGATAATCCACAGGATAAATTCCTGGAGATGAGATCTAGGGAACAATGAGAGGAGTAGGCCCGTCTTTCTATGGAGTAAAAATATGTGGTTCATATTTCCTTAATAAAGGTATCCTTTTCAATTTGGAATTATGAACAAAAGGCTATGAAACTGTGCATACCCTTTGATCCAGCAACACCACTTCTAGGTCTGTATTCCAAAGAGATCATAAAAATCCAAAGAGACCCACATGTACAAAAATATTTATAACAGCTCTTTTTGTGGTAGCAAAGAATTGGAAATTGAGGGGAAGCCTATCAATTGGGGAACAGCTGAACAAGTTGTAGTATATGAATCTAATGGAATACTATTGTGCTATAAGAAATGATGAGCAGGCAGACTTCAGAAAAACCTGGGAAGACTTATATGAACTGAAGCTGAGTGAAGTGAACAGAACCAAGAGAATATTGTATACAGTAACAGCCCCATTATACAATGACTAATTTTGATAGACTTATCTCTTCTTAACAATGCAAGGATCTAAGACAACTCCAAAAGATTCATAATGGAAAATGCTGTCTACACGCAAAAAAAGAACTAAGAAGTCTGAATGCAGATTGAAGCATATTATTTGCTCTCCTTTTTTTTTGTTTCTTCTTTCTCATGGTTTCTCCCATTGGTTCTAATTCTTCTTTACAACATGACTAATATGAAAATAGGTTAATACGAATGTATATGTTGAGCCTACATAAATTTACACTACATCTTGGAGTTAGGGAGTGGGGGGGAGAGGTAAAGAGAAAATTTGGAACTCAAAATCTTATGGAAGTGAACGTTGAAAACTAAAAATAAATAAATCAATCTATAAAAAAAAATAAAGGTATCCTCTTGAAGTCCGCCTCAAATGCTATCTTCTTCATGAAACCTTTTGTTTTTCATCACCAATGCACTTGTACAGTACTGTGATCTTTGAACCTTATCCCAACTGGCTGTTTCCCAAGGACTTGCATATAAAAGCCTGATGTTTACAAAGTCAATGATTGAGAAAAGTTTTTCTTAACTCTATCTCAGCACTAGCTTAAAGCTGCTTTCTCTCAAACTATCACTGAAATGCATCAAGCTTCTGAGATAAATATATCTCAAAGCAATATGTGCTTTATATATATAAACCTCTTTGGACTCCTGTTCTATTTTCAAGCTAGACATAAGCTTAATCATCTACTCTGTGGATTAGAAGCCATGGTGACATATCCCCATTCAAAGAATATCTCTAGGCTTAAGCAGGTGGTAGAAAACTGAAGGTCTCCTCAGTACTCCCACCTTTAGCAGTAAACTCCTATAGTGAATGGACTATCCTTTTGAAGGTGCTTTACAACCAAGCCTTTCTATTCAATGATGGCACTAATGATATAATTTTAGGAGAGCAGTTATTTTAGTAGTTAGATGGTATTTTGCTGATTCCTCTTTCAAATGAGGTTCCCTACATTCTTGACAACTAATGGAGTTTATGCTAACTTAAAAGGTATTATATATGACATATTAGAAACTACACTAGGACTTCTAGCCAAGATCACTGTCTGAATGGAGACTGATCAGCTTATATACACTTACTTTTAGCAAAAATTGAATTCATACCAGACTGAATAAATCCAATAATAAAACTATAGCAAATGAGTACTTTTGCTTCATAGCTATACAAAATGTCAACCATAAGAATAGGAAAGGGGGCTGGGATACCAATAAAGCCAAGACAGCACCAGTATAGACAAAGAAGTTGGTAACTTTCCATTGCAACCAGAAACACATGTCGTTAACAGGTTTGGAGGTAGCAACAGTTCCCCCCATTCCCCAAAGTCCCTGGAAGCTGAAGTTGTGTGAAAACCAAAGCGGCCCAGGTGGCCAGTCTCCAAGTTCCCTAGCACTTTGTTACGAGATGCTACTGATGACCTGCGTCAATGCTATGAATCTCAAGACTACGAGGGTCCCCAGAAGGTGGAGGTCAGTGAAAGTAACCCCAATGACTTAGGGAGAGAGATAAAGCAGAGGCAGGGTCTGAGCCTGGCTCAAAACCCAAGTTAACTAAAAATGTAAAAATAGTAAGATGTACAAAAGAGAGTAATTGTAACAATGGCAATCATAAATTCAAAGGAAAAAATGGATTTTTCTAGAAGGACTACATAAATACTTAGAAAAAGTGAAATAAAAGCTTCAGGGGAAAGAAATGGAAAGAGAATAAATAGCTTAGAAAATAATGTGGTAAACCTTACCCAAGAAATGGACTCCCTGAAAACCAGGACAGAAATCAACGACTATGACACAGCCAAAATCAAGACTGGAAAAATTTTTTTTGAGATAACTGACATCAAAGACAACTAATAATTTAAGAATCATTAGATTCTCTGAAAACAATGATCAAAGAAACCATTTTATCATCTCCTCAAAATACAAATGGCAAAGTCCCAGAACTGTCACAGCCTGAATCAAGAGCTCCCCTTGTCAAAGAAAAAACACTGCAAGCCTAGTTCTGAGTTCAAGTCCTGAGAAACCAGTCAAGATCACAAAGAGATCTTAGAGTACTACAAAAGACAAGAGATAAAAGCTTACAATCAAGAATAATTTGCCTTGTGAAGCTAAGTATAATCCTATGGGGTAAAAAAGTGGATCTTTAATGGAAGAGAAGATGCTCAATCACTTCTCTGTTGAAATGACCAAAGGGTAAATTTATTTGACCAACTGGAAAAAGGTTTTTTTTTTAAATTTTATTAATTTATTTTGATTTATCAACAATCACTTCCATATGCTTTTGAGTTGAAAAAGGGGTTTGATGATGAGATTGGAGAGAACAAGTGTTCCTTCAGTCTTAATGCTTTCAAAGGTGATTAAGGAAGTTAAACAAGAAAAACAGTATTTGGGGGTGGACTGGTTCTGTTTGAGGGCTTTAAAAGGGCAAGAGAATGGAGAATAAAAGGAATACACTAGTGTAGAGAAGAAGAAAGGGATGCAATTTGCTATTTCTCAAAATTGGAGAATATGTAAAAACACAGGCAACAGGGCAGGGATCAGAAGAACCCTCACTCTTACCTGAAAAGGAGACAGGAAAGTTGAACCCACACACAGTTTTGTGTGAAAACACAAGAAAACAAACAGGAATGAGAAGGTGTGGTAAAAAGGGAAAATAAGTCCAGGGAATAAATAACAACAAGCAAAGCAAAATTTCTGATTATGAAAGTGCAGTTAAAAGTGGGAAAAGATCTAGAACCTAATGGGGTGCCCTTCAATGGCTGAACAAATCATTATATAATGAATTTATTGTGCCATTAAAAAAAGACAAAAGATACTTTTAGAGAATCCTTGATATTATGAACTAATACAGAGTTCAAATGAGCAGAAATAGAAGAACAAATTACACAAATACAACAAGGTTGTAAAAGAAAAACTATGAAAGACAAAGCATTCAGATCAATTCAAGGACCAACCATGCCTCCCCAGAGGATCTATGATGAAGTATGTTACTTCCTGAAAGAGACAATTTGTACATGGCCACTGTGTGGATTCCTTTTCCTTGTCTGTTACAAAGGCCTTTGGCCTTCCTCCTTTGTCTCTTCCTTTCTCTCTCTCTTTCTTTTTTAAAATTAGGGAGCCAGGAGTTTGGAGACTAGAAAGGATGGGTAGGCCACTGAAGTATTTTTTCTTTTTAAAAAGAGAATAGTTTTACAAGTAATGTGTATTATATTTTTAAAAAAAGCTAGTGGAATGGAGAAATCACAGTTGCATATACAATTTTGTTTTTGTGTTCTGTTATATACAGGAAAAAGTTTTTTGAGATCTAAGTTCAGAATTTAAAAATTAAAAGGTTATATAAGGGAGAACTTATAGGCTAATTGCTAGAGCTTAACTTCAGACCCCCAAACGAAAGAACCCCATATATCTCTATAAAAGCAAAACAGGTTAATTTCTAAACTGATCTATACTGTTTCTAAATTTATTTTTATCCTTCTAGTCACTAATGAATGCTGTCAGTAACATCTCAATTATCTAAATGTCTAGAATATATGTGAGCAGATGATTTGGCATCTGTAACTTCTATTTCTCTACTGCATTTAAGGATGTCACTACGCTGCCTCAACAAAGTCTCAGTGAAGGGACAATTCCACATTCTAATAAGAGTATGAATTCTAAAACCATCCATATTCTGATGATTGCTTATCCAGAAACCTAGAGATTCTCAAGGAAATTTAATAAATTAGGAGCTAAATTAATACAGAAGTCATCCTCTTCAGTTGAATGGATAGGACATCAGATTTTGAATCAGAGAATCTGAAGTTTAAACCCAAGGATCTGCTACTTAATTACACTTATGTGACACTGGACAAGTCATTTAACCTTTTTCGGTCTCAGTTTCCTGAACTGTAAATGATGGATTTGGTCTATGATCTCTAAGGTCCCTCCCAGGTCTAGCCAGCAAGTATTTATTATTAAGCAATTCCTATGTACTAGGTACTGTTACAATCTAGGGATATAAAGGGGAAAACAGCACCCCTGATAGAAGTACAGGTACATAACAGAGAGACATTACTCCTATCACTCACACTGTGTCCCATGCAAAACTCTCACTCAGCCTTCACCTCAAATGTAGCATTACGTAGGATGGACCCGGAGAGGCAAGGGTCCCTTAACCCCAAGGCTCCACACTCTTCAAATTGGTATACTTCATTTTACACAATACATGTATCTTTTCAGAACTGTGTGTTACGCCCAACCCACCTTGTGTACCCAGAAAAATTAAGTATGAACAAAATGAACTGACAGTAAATTCTTTTTCTTTCTACCATATTCTTCCAAATACTTGGTGCAAGGAGCAATGAATTCTCCCACACCTAAGTGAGCCTACAAACACATACACGTTTTCCCTGCCCAAAAAATGCTTTCACACACCACACCACACACACACACACACACAACACACACACACACACACACACAACTTGTCAAGGCAGAATGGGAGAGAGATTAAGGATAACCCTCACTGGGCCACTCACATCACAAGCTGAGATGTAACGAAGCTTTCCCCGCCCCCACCATCCCAATTCACAGACTACTCAAAGTTTTGCCCAGGGAAGGCCTCTCGGCCCACCCAAACCGACACCCCTCACTGCCATCGTTTCCTCCCCTACAGGAAGAACTTCCTCGACTAGGCTTCTTCACTACTGGGTCCCACCCCCATCCCCCACCCCAGCGCACACTCACACTCACATCTCCCTCTTACAGTGGGTTTGGTCCCCTACTTACACCCGCTCACAGACAGCAGCCCCCCCCCCATGTGGGAGGGCCTCCCATTTTTATCCTTCCTCCTTAAGCACCGTCCTATTCCTCACTGGGGGACTCCGTGCTCCTGTCCCCCGCCCCAAGTAACACCAAACTCCAGCCCACTCAGACTCCTCCCCCCACCACGCAGGGATCCCAAAGTCCTTCACTTTAACTCTCCGACAAACTCCCCGCACGGCCCCCACCACCGTCCTCCCCCCATCCCAGCTCATCCTCTTCCCCTCCTTCCCGTCCACAGCAGCACTGTCCCAACCCCCGTACGTTCTCCGACCAGAGGCCACCCCTTCCTTTGGGCTCCCTCCTCGCGCCCCCGGCCGGCCCGGACGCCACAATGGCCGCGGGAGGCGGAGGATGAAGCCGGCAGTCCGCACGCGCTACCCCCTTCCCATCCCCCCATCGCTCTCCCAACGGCCGCCTCCGCGCGCGCGCGCGCCCGCCCGCCAGCTTAGCGCTTACCGAACCCTAGGCCGGTCATGTCGAGGAGCGCCCGGGGGCACCGCTGCAATAAGAGCTGCCGCTGCAAAGCCCGCTCGCCCGCTCCCTCTGCCACCCTCCCGCTCTCTCCTCCCTAGCCCCGCCGGCCCGGCGAACCCCGCCCTCCGCCCAGGAGGAGCGGGGAGGGAAGCAAGAGAGCTGCAATAGCAGCGGGGAGGTTGGACGAGAAAACGCTCGCCAAGCCGTGGCCGCACCTCATTGGTCCACGGGTTCTTCACTTATTTGAATAGCCAATGGGAGTTGGCCGGGTAGAGAATCACGTCTTCATAGGCAGTGAGTGGGGGAGGGTACCTAACTTCAGGGCCCTGCCTCCTGCCTTCCTCATATGTGGTCCTTTTCGGTTCTGAGGCTCAACCCCGCCCCTTCCCCTCGCCCCAGTCCCGCCCCGCGCCATCCCATTTGTGTCCTCGACTTTGCTCTTTCTCTCCTCAGTTACTCAACTTCTTGCTGTTACGTTTCTCTCTGCCTTCCATTTAATAATAATTATAGTATAGCACTTATGTAGCGCCTTAAGGGTTGTAATGCGCTTTACACATGTTATCTCCCCACGCTGTGGAGGTGACATTATTACCCCCATTTTACAGATAAAGAAACAGATTAAGTGATTTGCTCAGGGTTACACAGCCATAAAGTGTCTAAGGCAGGACTTGAATACATGTCTGTCCTGACCTTGCCAACTAGCTGTCCTAATGCTTTTTATTAGAAGAGAGGAACTCATCCTAACCAGCCTGTATATAGACCCTCATCTAAAACATACCTGAGAAGACACCATTCTGCCTCTGCTTCTTATACTTCAGTGTTGGGAGCTCACTACCTCACTAGAAGCATATTTATGGTAACCTAAAATCAATTTATTGAGTATAAAGTGTGCCAGGCTCTGGACTAGGTTCCCAGGAAACAAATACAAAAATCAATCAGCCAACAAGCATTTATTAAGCTCCTACTATGAGACCGTGCCAGGCACTGTGCTAAATGCTGGGAAAATAAAGGAATGAAGTCTAGGTCCTCAAGGACTTCCCTTCAATCTTTCCCCATACCTTCCTTCCCCTTCCCCTGCTGTCCTAGTCACCTAAAGCAGGGGAAATGTGCCAGGCATTGTGCTAAGTGCTTTACAATATTATTTCTTTGGATAATATTTGCAAAATGATTAATATGAAGCCTTCAGAACTCATTTAAACAAAGGATGTGTGATTCCACTGATGGGTCCTTAAGGTTTAATCTCCCATACCTGCTAGCCTGACATTTTGAGGACAGATACACATTCTGTCTTTGGGCTGGTACTTGAAGCCTTTCCAGCTTGGGAGGACCCGACCCGCCAGAACTTGCCCTCTGCTGGCATAGCATTTGAGAATTGTGTGTCACCTTCACCCCAGATGAAGTACAAGGACCCAGCCATCATTACATTTATCTATTTTTCTTCCCAAGAAAGAATGGGCTTTTCTTTGGCCCTGGGGAACCCAATTACTTTATTAATGACTAAATGTTAAGCATCTCAGAATTTTTGGATGAAGTTTTTATTGGCTGTGTGACATTGGGTAAATCACTGAGTCCATTTAAGCTTTAGTTTCTCTATCTGGAAAATGAGGGGGTTAGTCTAGATGATTTCCAATTCCAGCTGTAATATGCAATTTTCTTTTCTTTTCTTTTCTTTTTTTTAAGGCAGTTGGGGTTAAGTGACTTGCCCAGGATCACACAGCTAGTAAGTGTCAAGTGTTTGGTCTGATGCCGGATTTGAATTCAGGTCCTCCTGACTTCAGGGCTGGTGCTCTATCCACTGCAACACCTAGCTGCCCCCTAACATGCAGTTTTCTAAAGGAAGCATTATATTTCGTTGAACAAATGCATGTTATGACAAAGAACATCTTATCAACAAAAAACATTGGACTTAAAGCTGGAAGGGACCTTACTTTAATCTTTAATTTTGCTGAGGAGGAAATTGAGGTTAAATCATTTGTCTAGGATTTGAACCCAAGTGTTATGAGCCTAGACACAATGCTCTTCTTATTGTTAGGAAAATGCTTATGTGTCTCTTTTCCAAACTTCCATCCTTCAATAGCTCTTTGATGCTTCTCAAATAAAGCCTTTGGCTAGCATGCAAAGTCTTCCACAATCTAGCAGGACCCATATATATACATATATATAATACATATATACATATCTATATATATATATATAATTTTTCACTATCCTCTATCTTGTACTCTATCACAACCCGTCTTGTACTCCACCTATATCTTGCCTCCATACCTCGGAATCCCTCTTATTCCACCCCCCCACCCCTCCACCCCCAGCCTTTCTCTCCCGGCCACCCCCCCCATCCTCACCTATGAAATTCCCAGTCATCCTTTAAGACTTAGCTCAAGAAGCACAGCTTCCTTGAAGGGATCCTTAATTCCCTCAATCAGAAGTGAAGATCCTTATTCAGACTTCTTGTACCATTTACTACCTTTCCTTTTTTTGTTCTCTTTTGCATCATCGAAGAGATTTACCATAAGAAAAGGAGAGGGGGCCGGTTATACCAGTTACTCTATGGTTATCCACAAACCATCAAGAGAAGGCCCCCAGCATATTTGATGGTATCTCTGTGGAGGATTTACCTCTGTGGTGTAAGAATTACCCTGGATGAGAAGGTGTGGATGGGCTATGATTGCCATCGTATACAGGATGAGAGAGCACTGAACAATCGAACTGTTGAAATTATTTTCTATGTGTATTTGCATATTCTTCCCATGCTGTAGGTCCAAAAGGGCAGAGATCAGTGTGAAGAGGCCCACGTGTTGATTTTCTGCATCTTTCCTGACCCCTACTAAGGTGCTAATGGATGTTGTCCACATGGTAAGTGAACATAGTAAGTACTTATTGAATTCAATTATTATTCATTATATTCTTAATCCTTTCTCTCAAGAAACATCTTTAAAGGCATAGTTCTTTCTTTTTTTGGAGGGGGGAAGGCCAAGGAGTCCTGACCTGTGACTTAATTGGTCCTGGGAACTCCTGGGGAAGAAATGCCCTCTACCAATATAGATCCGCCATTCAGACTCAGAGTTGCCCAGGGGCACCGAGAGGTAAAGTAATTAGCTTATGAACATATAGCCAACTTCCTGAGGGTAGGGACTGTCTTTTACCTCTTTTTGCATCCCACTTCTTAGTACATTGCCTGGCACATAGTAAGTGCTTAATAAATATTTATTTATTAAATTAATTTCAGAGAAGGGACTTCAAGCTAGGTGTTCCTGCGTCTAAGGTTGACTCTATCCACTAGCCCACTTTGTGATTCTTTACAGAATATTTCTTTAGTGAATGGAGTACCAATTCTTCAATAAAGGTTTTAAGCCCTGAAGATAGACATAAACAGTTCAAGACTTCTCAAATGTTGGCAAAAAACTAATGTGATTGTAATGCCCTCTGTCCCACCTTCTGTGGGATGTCTCTAACAGCTCAAGCCTCAAGTGCCTTTACTGTTGAACTCTTTCCTTATCACTTTGGAGTTGTTTAATTAACATATGTGAACCTCTCACCCCCTTATCACTGACCAATGGTACCACTTCCACCACTGCCTCAGTGGGCTGATTTGGTATTAGACCCCAACCATGTTTAGCAGGGACTTCTTGGATCCCATTCTATCCCTTATGCAAGGGGATATGTGGTATGTTTTGTTGCTCATAGAGGTTATGTTTGTCCAAATGGGTCTGCCTAGATGTGAGTCAGAGGTATTCATAGATATCTTTAGAATCGTCACTGCCCACCCTTCTCCAGAGGAATCTTTGATTCCTGCCAGGAGGGTTGTAGGAGGTTGAAGCCAGAGGCTAGCTACTGTGCTCTCCTCAGACAAAGGATTCTGGACCAGAATTATATCTATTCTTCTCACTCCATACCCAAATATTATTAGTCTAGAAGAAATCATTTTTAAGGTCAAGATGTTGTTTGTCCTTCGTTCCCAAAGAGGACCAATGGCATCATGAAGCTGATGTCTTGACTTGTGTGTGAATTGCATTAAAGTGAGCCAGAGCTGTGCAAAGTCATCAGCCTCACTCTCTCCTCCAGAGTCATGGGAGTCCAGTGGCAAGATAGAAGTTAACTGGCAATGATGCAGAATGTGGTGGGTGACTTTGGCATTTTTAAACTAAGGTCAGTGGGTCCCAAGGTCATTGTTTGGGCCCTGATTGGCTCAGAATAAATGTAAATAGCAATTGTTTCTGTTTTGGCCAGAAACTCTGAGGATATTTCCCTCCCAGATCGATTTTTATTTTATTTTTTTATTTTTTGACTAGATAAAGAAGCCATTCTCTGCCTTAATCACTAAATGAGCCTTGGCTCAGTCAAATTGAGACCTGTTAAAGACCTTAGCTTGAAAAGACTAAGGTGCCCATTGCGTCCTGGGCTATGTCCAGTTGTCCTGATCTTCATCTTGCCACTGGACCCAGATGGCTCCAGGGAAAGTGAGGCTGGTGAGTTTGCACAGCCCTCCCTCACTTAAATCCAATTCACTCGCATGTCATGGCATCATGGTGTCATGGTCCTCTTTGAGAATCAAGGATAAACAACAACCTTCTCCAGGTCTCAGTTTGACTGAGATGATGCCCATTCAATGGCTAAGGGCAAGGTAAGAATTGAGACAAAGGATGGCCTGGCTTGCCATCACAAAAGAATCAATCTGGAAGGGGAAGAACCTCAGAGTTTCTGGCCAAAACAGAAAATAATTGCTATTTATGCTCACTCAGAGCCATCAAAACCCTAACAAAGAGCAAGAGAGGCTTGGGCTGAGATTTTTTATTGGCTGTTCAACGAAAGTTAAAGGGATTTGGGCTTAAAGGTATGGTGCAGTAGTTCCATTTGAATCACAATAGGCTTTTTAAAAGCCTTTTTTTAGAACAATATTTCATAACTGAAAACTGCACAAGAAAAAGAGTTAATTGTTCCAAAAAATAATAATGATAAAATAAATGGTAAATTAAAAAAAAATCTAGTTCCCAAACCTCAAGATAGCTTACAAAATATAAATGACCAAAATTATAATTCTTTGGACAGAGCACCCATATATAAGGGGAAGAAGAAGAAGAAGAAGAAGAAGAAGAAGAAGAAGAAGAAGAAGAAGAAGAAGAAGA